ATATAAATTAATTGAATGTACATTTTGATGACAAGTTTCCTTTTAGAAGAGTGACCCAATATTTGTTGCAGTTATTTAATTAGCATTGCTTGCTAGTATATCTCAATGAGCAATGTTAATTATTAAATTACAATCAACACTCGTATGATTGTGGTAAGGATCCATGAGATTTAAAATGTCCCTTTAGCTATTTCAATCAAGTTTGTAAGCTAATATTTTAAAAATTTTAAAAAAATATTTTTGTATTAATAATATCTATTGTCATATTTTAAAACTAAACCTTCTATTATTTTGACCACAAGTAATACCATTTTTAAAACTTTATTTTACTTAAAACAATCACTTCCTAGTGATGAACGTTAGCTCTCTTGGATCTTTAGGATGGGGTCGGTCTTGATGACCCTATCAAAGTCATATAGTCAGCCGCAACCACACTCTCTATGCACAAATATGTGTATTTAATCAAGTCACCTTCATTTTAGCTGCTTGCTTAGAATAGATTAGGGTTTAGTTAGGGTTCCCATATGTTTGCCTATTATTCCATGGTTTGCGCCTAGACACAATTTATGTGTTGCTATTTTTCATGTTTAATGGGCGTGAGATCAATGCATTAGAATGTTAGAGATGTTTTTTTTTTTTTTTTTTTTTTTTTTTTTTTTTTTTTTGTGCAAGAAGCCTTGTCCAACATAGAGAAGAATCATAATTTAAACAAATGCCTTTTCTACATGTTTTCCTTTGCTCTTTTCTTGCCAGACAAAGTTTATGATACATTACATGAGATAACCCGTGCTTACTTTTGATTTCAGATTAAAGCTTTTTTTTTGGAATTTTTGTATTTACTTCTTTTAGATAGTACACAAGTTGGAGTCTGTATTAGAAGTTAGGTACGAGCAAGGGTTCCTATGATGCATGGTGTACGGAATCGTGTGGTGAGGACCAGAAATAGCATATCCACGACTCGTACCTTAGTTCTGAGTTCATATCATTGTACAAAAATTAAGATCAGGTCTATATATGGGGAGTCTGACCACAAACCATTTGTATTTCTGGGATATATTACCAATCCAACAACACCCAACCTATTGTTTATTTTATTATGTAATGTGTTTTTTTTCCCTTACTTAGAATGTTGATTTCCTTCTTTATTATATTTGTGGATCGTTTGGGCTCTTGCATTTGCTTTTAGGTTTACTTAGATAAATTATTTCTATAAAATTATAATAATAAAAGATTTATCTTAATTAAAATTTTGGATTAAAATTTTATTATTTAAAAGTAGGTACTTTATTTCATGTTTACTTTTCTTGCATATCCTTCGTGCTAGAATTAAAACGGATTGTATTGCATGAACTTATCCCAAGTCATGATAATAGGGTCTTCACATTAATGACCACTCTAGATAATTGCATCATATTTATAGGTCAAGATAAGGACTTATGCTCCTCCAATCTGACTGACCAAGCATATGTTTGCATGCTTAAGAGGTTTTCTAGGAGGACAGTTTGACTTTGTAGCTGGGGCATCCTTTCTCTTTCATTCCATAGTCCTCCTTATTATTTTTTTTAGCATGTGTAAGTCTTATTTTATTAATTCCATCCAAATAGGGTCATATGGAATTAGATATTTTTTTTATTATTTTAACTTATGGCTGTTGTGATTTCTTTGTTGAAGCACCATATAAATTGTTGACAAGGGATCTCTGATTGAGCTGGGTCGAATACCTCGATGACCAAATAGACTTAGAGTCTTAATATTCTGGGATAACAAATTCAAGAAATTCTAATTTCGGTATCATTGCCGATATAAGAATTCCTTACCCGTTTCTTAATATACCTCGCTTGGCCTCATTCCACACTTTTGTTTTATCACATGAAGACTATCTTATAAAAATTCTCCAGATTTCTATTTCTTTTTTTTGTAAAGTCTTATTATATTTTTTCTCTTTCTAATTCTTCTTCTTCTTTAAATCATTTTGATGATCCAAGAAAGAAGGTTATTTAGAAAAGATAATTATAAAATAAAAATTAGACAAGCTGGCGACTTTGGGTTAAAAAGACCTAAAATAGGTAGAAGAGAAAAAGGAGAAATGGGGCTAGAGTTTTGGCCATGGTGGAAGAGGAGGAAGGAGATGGAGAAGTGAAGGGGTTTTTTACCATGGTGGAAAAAGAGGAAGGAGAAAGAAATGTGATGAGAATTTTTTCCATGGTGGAAACGGAGGTAGGAGTAGTAGAGGTGATGAGAGTTTTAGCCATGGTAGAAAAGGAGAAAGGAGAGGAAGGAAGAGAAGAGAGGGTAAAAGAGAGCGAGAAAGGAAGAGATTCACATCACACCATTCATGTAAAGGAGATGCAAATCCATACTTGTAAAAACCATTGACATAAAGGAGATGGAATAAATAAACCTTGTCTTGCTTAAAGTGCAGTTTGTTTAATGGAGTGGAAGAGGAAGATGAAGAAGAAGAGGGAGAACGAGCGGTGAAATTTTGTCTAAGGGAGAATGAAGGGAATTGAAATATTCCGCCACTTAAAGAGGGATAAGGGAGAAGAATTTTAGAGGGAGGTGTTATGGATAAAAAAAAAAAGGAGAAATCACTTAAAAATTCAAATTAAAGGGAGGGGGAAATTCAAACTTTGGGTTTTTAAGTCAAAAAAGATAACTTTAGCTTATTCAGAAGAAAAATTACACAAAATGCGACGATGAAATCAAATTTTTGTTAAGGTGGTCTCTATCTCGAGATATGTCAATTCAAAGTTAAAAGGTGGTTATGAGCGGCTATGGACAAAAATTTGACCTTGGCTCATTTAAAGAACACACTGGTAAATTGCTATTGTGCTTGGTTTTTCATATATACAACCCAAAAACGGAAAAAAGTCACGGAGCCTAGCTCAGCAAGAACGATCCACTATGAATTATTGAGTACAGAAATATATCCTTATCCCACAAGTGGAAAAGAACTACATAGTTCCTTAAACTACAATATTCATCGCATAATGGTTGTAAGTGATTGCAGTTGGGTAATAGTTTTTGGAACTTTAGTGCACCATCATCAAGATGCATCAATGCACAACATTCATGACGATGCGCTGCTCTATTAGGTGCTTTGATACTCCACAACATACACTGAGATTCCACATCATACATCATGATTTTGCAACAGATTTCATTACAATGAGTGATAGTGGCCGGCGACCATGAAAGTGGGAAGTGTTTGCCAAGTGTTTCGTATGGATTGCCACTTGAATTCAGCTCCCACTTGAATGAGTTCTAGGTCCAACTTTTCTTCTAGCTTAAGGCCTAAATCCCCTTTTATGAAGGGACTAGGGCTCAATTTATAGTTTGGAATGGCCTTCCTATAAAGAAAAAAAAAAAAGAATCAAGACCCCTCCAATGAATAATTCAGAAAAAATTCTTTGATGAGATAAATTTTGTGGATAAATGTCTTAACGATGTCAAAATTAATTGATCTTAGGCTTGTTGAACTTGTTTCATTGAGACACTCAACTTGATTTTAAGCTCGTCAGATTTGTAATCCATATGACATTCCAATTAGCCACACAATATTTATAAGTGTTTTAATGACTTGATATATGCTTAAGCGGACTTAGATTGGACCAATTTCGACGGTCGTCATCTCATCAAGCAAGCCAGTTTGACAGTAAGTTCGTTGAAAACAAAATTCTGTATAATTTTTAATTGAAGTTTAAAAGTTATGTGCCCAAACATGCCCCGAGATCGGTGCTATTAGCTTCGAGATTTATGTCAATTGTTAAATTTTACTGATGACTTGCTACTCATATATTAATTATATTTTCATTTTAAATATCTTATATCATTAACATAACGAAAGCATAATTAAAATCTATTTTAAATTTAATTAGTATTTCTATGCTACTAACTAAAATTTTCTCAACAACCAATTAACAAAATCAAATAAAAAACAAGATTTACATGCATACCACTAAATAATTATGTATTTACATATCTAACACTTAAACTTTAATTTCTTACATCCACAACATAAAAAAGAAGTATTTCATATTTTTAAAATTAAATTAGTGATATATATTTTTTTGTGAGATATAAAAAATTTAGGTGGTATAAATGTAAAAACGTAAATTTTAAGTGTTATATATGTAATGATATAGAAATCGGCTGGTATGTATGTAAATTCTCTATCACAAATTCATGTCAATGTTTATTTAGTCCCGCGTCAGTGTGAAGATGTAAAAAAACATTTTTATTAGTCTATAAATAAAGGTTCTCATCAAAACTTAAGCAGCAACTGAATGCCTTGTAAATCCATAATTATTTGAAATTGTAGAAAAAAAAATGATTGAAATTAACAATATTCAAATATAAAGTATTTTCACCAATTTGAAATCCGGTAGAATACATAAAGATTTACGAGATTCGGCAAAGATGCCTACATCATCGGGAGCAGAGCAGCGACTTAAAAGTGTACAAAATACAGAATATAGAATCTCAGACTTACCTACGGTTACAAACATGACATATATATAACCTTATAGTACAATATGTAATTAGTTAAATTATCCCTGTACCAAACCGCGGGGGTTTGCCCCTGCTCCCACAACTCAAATAATGAAACTCCTCCGATTGGACAGATGCTTCCGCTCAACTCCGCTCGTGGGCTCCACTCCGCTCCAGCATCTGTATCATTTATGATATATGAGGCATGCCTAACAAATATCCATGATAATTTTATTCAAATGCCAGTGCTAAATAATCCGAATATGAAAGTTTATCAAAATAATGTAGTATTTCTCATAATATATTTCGATTTATCCCGGCCGGACCGTCAGCGCACGCATGATCCAACCTCTACAAGGTCATCGGGACCGTTCATTTTCATTCCACGTGGCAAATTTCCATTAGTCCATCTCACATCCCTTCCCCACCATAGAAATTAAAAGCAGAACTTAAATGGAAGGAAAAAAGGGCTAATTAGAAACAAGCCCACACCTCTTATATAAACTGCTAGCACGTAAATAGCGACCTAAATAAGAGACAACCCATCTCTGTAATCTTCCCCTTATTTTCGTCTTCCGATTTCGATAAGCGCCTCTCTCCTCTTTCCTCCCCGACCCTCGCCAGAGGCTGGTGAATCCGAAACCTCTGCCGCCGACGGCCTGGTTCAGGTGATTTGCGGCTGAAGCCCGAACCGATCGATCCCAATCGCTCCGCTGCCGTCGATTTCTCGCCGGAGGCTGTGAAATCCCGTGAAATTATACGTAAAGCCATCGGACAAAAATTCAAAAATCTCCCACACACCCCCTCCGATTTTAACACCCCAAGCCGACGCTCGATCGCTTCCTGTGATCGCGGCTTCCCTTCTATGATTATCCGTTTCCCTTGCTTCCATTAGGTACGCCTCTCCCGCCTCGAATTCGGTCCATGTTTGGTGGTCTTCACTGCTTCCCGCTCAGTGAGCTTTGCTACTTGATTTGATCGGGTTGTGTGGTTCTGATTGTTTTTTATGCTGTTTTTTCTTCTTGCATCCATTTGCGCTTCCGTATGGGGATAGAGGATCGATTTCCATGCTTTTTCCTGGCCGATCTGCTCCTTCCGCCGCCCGATTCGATCGTGTTGAGTTGATCGGCTCGGAACTTCGCCTCTTGCTAGGGTTTATGCGATTGGGTTTTTTTTAGCTTTAGATTGATTTACTTATGTTCAGGCATGATCGTTCCTGGTTCCTTTTCTAGTCCCTTGCGGGGATTCTGCTATGCTTGTATTAGGTTTTGGCTTTCTGTATAACAAGTAATTATTTTCAATATAAAGCTTTTTGCTTTATACCTGTCTACATTTGCTTTGGATTTTAGGCTACTGCATCGAAAATGGCTTCCTTAGGAGGAAGGATTCTTTGTTCTTGACTGAACTAGTATTCTTCTACGCTTTGTGTGCTTCTTGGTATTGGATTGATGTCCGATGCTTCTCTCAACGTTTACTTTATCCTATAGAAATCTGCATTGTTGGCGAGGCAAAAATGTCTTACATCTATTCCGGCTTTTTTTGTCATTGCAGTGATCGCTTGTATGGATTGTAGTTTTTAGTGGATTTGGAGAAATTTCCATGCCAGAGGAGGAGATGGCTTACTTCAGGAACTTTGATGAAAACATGAATTCCAGTCACGAATTGAATGGGAAAGAAGGTGAAGCTGAAGTTGATGGAGCCTATTGTTCTCCGCAAACTAGAGATATGGATGCTAGTTTTGTTGAGAAGGAGGTTGATAAAAATACTCTTGGGCTGTACAGGAGTGAGGAGGAGACATATGATGTTGGCAGGAAGCAGAGTGAAATGTGCGACATGAATGGTGTGGGAAAGGCAGGAAGAAGATTAAATCCTGCTGGTACTTGGGGTTCAAGCTTTTGGAAAGATTGCCAACCAATGTGGGGTGCAAATGATGATAATTATGATTCTATGAATGTTGAAGATGGGCCTGATTGTGACTTTAAGAAAGCCGAAGAAGAATCTATTGGCTATTCTTGTGAAGACTCAGATTATCAAAGAGGTGGAGATCATTTGCAGAAAGGACAAGCTGATTTACCTGCAGATGAGATGCTTTCTGATGATTATTATGAGCAGGATGGTGAAGAACATAGTGATTCTTTTCATGGTCGAGGCGTAAACCACCCTAGCACCTCGAATTCAAGATTGCCACCCAAGTCCACCTCTTCCAATAGAAACAGTTCTAAGAGTTTAAAAGCTGTAAGATATGATGAATATGATGAAGATGAGGATTATAAAGAAGAGGATGAAGAAAATGAAGGAGATGGTTTGTTTTTTATCCTTATTTTAGCACTTAAAGATAATCATTTTGGTTTCGTCCACAAAATGCTCATTTTTCCTTTATTTGCACTGGCATTGTTCGTTTCTTTTCTCATTGACAAATGTATGATAATTTGTTTCTTTCTTATTGCAGAAGACGATCCTGATGATGTTGATTTTGAGCCTGATTTTGATGAAGCAAGTAGGCACACAAGGAGCAAGGTTAATGAATGATATCATGTTTTAATTACGAGCACTTTAGGGTTTTGGTAGATTATTTGACTACGTCACAATTGCTCATTTTCGTTGCCCTTTTTTATTTGTTACATTCTTGCTATCAGATTTTTGCATTTTATTTTTCATGCTCTGTTTCTTATGTTTTAACCTAAGCTTTATGCATGCATTTTCTAGAAATCATGGTTGGACTTTACAAATGCATCACTTTTTTTTATTTTGAGAGCATTTAAAGCAGATTGTTTATTCATGGTAAGCCTATTAGTTGTTTCAATGCCTTACCATGCTGTTCATATATTTGACTGGACGGTAATCATCTCTCCTATTATGCTGATTGATTAAATCTCTATTTCAAAATGTAAGTAATGAATGGATCATGTTCTTTTTGCTTTTGGAGGAAATTCAATGCCCTTTTTAAGAATTTGTTTTTACTTTGCATCTCAATTTGTTCAATGGTTTTTTTATTATTTTTTAAACTACATTTACTCTATTACAAATTTCAAGCTGCTAAATATTCCCTCATTAAATGCAGGTTAAATTGTCAGAGAGTGATGATTTTGAGGATGATGATGCAGATGAAGATGATGACTTTGATCTCTCAGATGAAGATGATATAGAATGCACAAGTATCAAACGACAAAGAGCAAGCAGAAAAACGGGACAAAGTTCAAGGGCAACTAAAGAATACAAATCCAATCAATACAATAAACGGAAAAGGGGGAGAGCTTTTTCAGAAGAAGCTGAATCTTTTGAAGAAGAATCTGATGAGGATAGCGATGGATACTTTGGTCAAAAAATAAAGAGAGCAACTCAGTCACGTAATAAAAAGATTGGTGGAGGATTTACCACAACAGCTAGTATGAGCTCTCCTAGAAATGAGGTTCGACATTCTGTTAGGTCAGTGAGAAAGGTTTCTTATGTTGAAAGTGAGGAAAGTGAGGATATTGATGAAGAAAAGCAAAACAAGCCCCAAAAGGTGTGTATTGATAAGTATTTCTCCTATCTGCTCTCAGTTTTAGGCTCAGTATTCTTGAAAGTAATAATGACGTGACTTCTATCTAATGTTTACAACCTTGGCTAATAAGAAATTGATTCAAAGCCTCATATTCAGCAATTCCCCATTTCAGTTTACCTTTACTTCCTCTAAAAATTTCACCAAATAGGTGATTTATATAATCACAATTTTTAGGAAGACGCTGAAGAAGAAGATGGGGATTCAATTGAGAGGGTACTCTGGCACCAAAATAAAGGCATTGCTGAAGAAGCTGCAAAGAACAATAGATCAACTTTACCTGCAGTGCTGACTGCAGTGCTCGAATTAGAACCTCATTGGAATGACATTGAATTCTATATTAAATGGAAAGGACAGTCATACTTACATTGTGAATGGAAGCCATTCTCTGATCTCCAAAATGTAAGCATTTAGAACTTAATTCAAGCAAAGCTTGATTATTTTCATTCTTCTTATGTAACCTTGCAACCCCTTACTTTCTTTTTTGATCTGTTTTTCTGTTTCATTAAACTCAATCTTTACCCTTGAATATCAGCTAACTGGATTCAAAAAGGTTTTAAATTATATGAAGAAGGCAAATGAAGAACGAATCAACAAAAGGTCTCTATCACGTGAAGAGGTATTTAACCTTTTTCTATTATACGTAATTGAAATGCATTGCTTGGTTGTTATGAGTGGATTAAGAGTACACAATGTGGCTATTATGAAACAATGCTTGCAATAATATCTTATTCCTGATATGTTATTATTGGCATAATATCTGTTATTTTGTTGGCATTGTCTTTATTTTGCAAAAATTGGCAAAGCTTATTTGGCACAATCAATTAAAATTGTAATTTTAGTTAATTAGCAATAGCGTAGTGGCACTATCTTTAACTTCCCACCATGGAGAGGTTCAAAGCCCCTTGAGCAATGCAGTTCTATACGTACTTCTTGTCCTTGCTGATGTTAGTTTTTTTATTTTTGTATCTTTATTTAGCATACTCCACATGCAGTCATTTTTTATGTTGAAACAAGTCATACAAAGCTACTTGTTTCAAAAACCCATCAACAGTCTAGGTTTTGTTATAGAGCTCTGTCTAATACCACATAATGATCTCAAAAAATTGTGTATTATAATGCTATTGTACTCTACTTTGATATCTAGTCATCTTGTTGAAACAAGTCATATAAAGCTACTTGTTTCAAAAACCTATGAACAGTCTAGGTTTTGTTACAGAGCTCTGTCTAATACCACATAATGATCTCAAAAAATTGTGTATCATAATGCTATTGTACTCTACTTTGATATCTGGTCATCTTGTCCTTGCTGATGTTAGTTTTTTTATTTTTGTATCTTTATTTAGCTTACTCCACATGCGGTCATTTTTTATGTTGAAACAAGTCATACAAAGCTACTTGTTTCAAAAACCTATCAACAGTCTAGGTTTTGTTATAGAGCTCTGTCTAATACCACATAATGATCTCAAAAAATTGTGTATTATAATGCTATTGTACTCTACTTTGATATCTAGTCATCTTGATGAAACAAGTCATATAAAGCTACTTGTTTCAAAAACCTATGAACAGTCTAGGTTTTGTTACAGAGCTCTGTCTAATACCACATAATGATCTCAAAAAATTGTGTATTATAATGCTATTGTACTCTACTTTGATATCTGGTCATCTTGTCCTTGCTGATGTTAGTTTTTTTATTTTTGTATCTTTATTTAGCTTACTCCACATGCGGTCATTTTTTATGTTGAAACAAGTCATACAAAGCTACTTGTTTCAAAAACCTATCAACAGTCTAGGTTTTGTTATAGAGCTCTGTCTAATACCACATAATGATCTCAAAAAATTGTGTATTATAATGCTATTGTACTCTACTTTGATATCTAGTCATCTTGATAAAATTTTTTTTTGGACATGATCCTAGATTAGGATGGACTTTGTACATTTATCACATGCAATGGATAGAGCATCAGTCCCATCTAGCTTTATACCTTTGATCCAAATCATCTTACACCTTCTATTGCACGAATAAAACCTAGGATTTCTCACGGCTGTTTTTTTTTTTCATCTCTCTCCTATCACTTGACTCTCCTTCATATTTTTCATCATATGTACCTCTGCTATCCTATGCTTTCATTGATGTTCTTGTTTTTCATCATCTCAATTACAACTCTCATCATATGAGAAGAGCTATTAAAAGCTCTTTGTTCGTGAGCATTTTGTGCTTGACTTGTTAAGTAGCTCATTTTCGAAATTTACTTTAAGCAAGCAAGCAGAACACAAAAAAAATTTTTAAGCTCGAATTATAAACAAGTTGTATATATAGTTATAATATATATATATATATATTTATATATAAGTTTTAATTACAATAACACATGTGGTCATGTTGTTCTTAACCTTCTATTGCACTGGATTGCTGCAATTCAAATACAATACTCTACATTTATTTTTCTTATCAGTTTAAACGAGCCAATTTCAACCTTAATACGAGTCGAATAAGAACACACTGACAGGATTAATATTAAACGAGTATGAACACGCTTGGCTTGTTTACAACCCTACATATTAGCATTTTTAATAATTTAATAACGAGTCAATGATTGCCTAGGCACTTGGAGTGGCAAGGCCGTAGAACCTTGTGTATCTCTTGTGGATGCACCATTTGGCCTTTTGTCTTATGCTTTCATTTTATTAGGTGGCGCCTTACCTCATTTTAGAGATTGGTGCTAATTTAGGTTGAAAATGGATTGGCTTTTTGTGGTGATAATATTTGTGGGGTGATATGAGGAAACCTAAAGAGTTGGAGAAATAGGTATATAACATTGCAACCAAGTTAACTAAATATAAGTGTTTGCACCTATTTTTTAATGATAAATTTTGAATATGAAGAGGATATCCAAGAAGATAGACCATTGATGGGGAGGCACAAATCCAATATAGCAAAGATAGCATGGATGATAATAACGATGGAATATATAATATAGAATGCTAGTTTATCATTAGGCTAAGCATTGTTGCTAACCAACATAATTTAATGCGACCAATTTTGCTTTAATTTAAAAATATTCTTCAATTAAAATAAAATGCAAAATATACTACTACTTCATTTTTTTAGTGCTTCCTCTACTCTGGTGAACACTTTATACATTGAGCAACCATTTTTATTGCACTTAGTACTACAAAAAACATTTTTTTCATAACTCTTGGTTTTTGCTGCCCTTTTCATCTATTTCTGCCTCTTTTATCATTGTCCTTTTTTTGAATTCATTTAAAATAATGCTTCTGTTATGTTGCCTTGAACCAACCATGCGACGCCCCTAATCGTTACTTTCCAATGACCTTGAACCCTTTCTTCCACTATCTCTTCTTTCAGTCTCTCTTTTTTTTGCAGCCTTGGCTTCACCTTCCTCTCATTATTCCTCTATATTTTATTGAGTCAATTTTCTCTATTCATTAGCGATTATTACTGTCATTTGACTAGGTCATTATTTTTTTTTTCTGGTTTCTCATTGAGCCCCTTCATCTCCTCAGCTGATTATGAGCTTTTATTTACTCCTCTTTTTTTGTTGTCATCAAGATTTATCTGTGGTTCTATTATTTTTGTTGGATTTTGGCTTAAGTTATATTGATGTAAAGATCTATCTAGGACATGACTAAAGGTCTATCTAGGATAATTTTCTACCTGTTTTACTTTTCAAACCATAACTAATGGCTTTGAAATTGATTTAAAAAATTTGATATCTAGAATAGCTTCTCGTGACCAAGCTTATCACTTTCTAGAATGCAACTATGTTATTTGGTTTCTTAATCTAGGAACTTCAATTATGCTGTCTATATTTCAAAAAATGTTATTATCACTTTGAACAATAACTTTTTGTAAAACAAATCAATCACTTTGCATACAATTGGGGCTGCTTCTAATAAACCCTGACCTAGTCTGTAAATGAGCCAATGCGCTCAATGACCAACTTGAAATTGACTCGTTTAATTCTAGATCAAGTTTGTTCACATTAGTAAATGCTAAATGCGTAGGTTTGAATATTTTTTAAAAACTTGAATGTTAAATGAACCAAATTTAAACACACTCTAAATCATTTATTTATGTTTACGAATAAACTTATTTATTTTTCAACAACTAACTTGTTAAATGTTTTATAGTATGTTTGAATATAACTGAAATGATATATCATATATTATTTAAATAAAAATAGATTAATTAGAACTTCTTTAATAAATTTAATAGTAACATATTATTAGTTATTACCAATATGCAATGCATTATAGTTTAATACAAAATTTTCTTATTTCTTGATGTTAATGTTATAGTTTGTTAGTACTTATTTATATTATTTGATTGTAAGATAACATACTTTTAGCTTATAATTTATATTATTTAATTGATGTAAACTAGTTGGATATTAATTCAAAATTTATTTAATTGCTTATTTGTTTAGATTTCTAAAATCATTTGTTGACAGCCTGGTATGAAAAGCTAAGTACTCATTTGAATTTTTACTTGTTTATTAGCTCATTGAAATAGTCATTTTTTTAATATAAACAAGTTAACTATAAGCTAAGTATGATTTTTAAAAATTTTAATCAAGCCAAGCATAAACATAACCTTGAAAGTTTGGCTTGAGAGTATAAATATACATGTGAAAGTTCGGCTCGAGTTCGAGCAGAACATGAACAACTTATAATATAACCACCAAGCCAAGCCCTTTCCGTGATATACTTGGCTTGATTACAACCCTAACCCGTGCTATAGCTGGCTCAATATGAATAACTAGTTTTGAAAACTGTTTGTAAGTTGATATACAATGTAGATAAGATGACTTTGCTTAGGCTTCGATTAAACAAGCCTAGCTTAAACCATACATGGATGACATTTTTCATCTTAGATTTTGCTTCATTAATATTTTCTTTAAATGAAGATACAAAAGTGCTTTTCATTAATATTTTATTCTCTAAACCAAGACTTTTATCAGCCATCGACCTGAGCATACTTCTGATGACATTTACATTACTAAAATCAACACTGATCAAGTGTTTTTTTTTTTTAAGTCTTGTTAACAAGTATAATTTAGTTTGAGATATCCTCTTACTTGCGATACACATGCCAATCGGTAATGAAGCAATGTCCAGTTTTAAGCAGTGAACTAGGGTGATGATTTTTGTGATCAAATTTGATCGATGTGGTCCTTTTGATATGACAAAAGCAAAATATCATACTTTCTGCTGATTTTTTTCCAACAAGTTAGGAAAGTTTTTTTTTTTAATGTCAGTGGAGTTTTTTTCTTTTTCATTCTTCATATTCTTCCATTTTTTATTGGCACGTTACCAGATTACACATGTTTCCTTGTTGAAAATAGAATGAAAATGCAATTGGTGGCTGAGGATTGGTCAGTGTATTTTATTAGAGTGGATGAGCTTGTTTGGATAATTTTATAGTCCAAGATAGAGCGGATGAGCTTGTTTGGATAATTTTATAGTCCAAGATCATAGTGCATGATTGCTGCTGCTCTTTAGTAGCTTTGTTTTTTTTATTTCGGGATAAAACATTCTGATCTATGCCACTTAAATGAGCCATAGAAACTCATTCCTAATAATATTAACTTTCGTTTGGTAATACTTTTTAGCTACTTTGTTTTTAATGTCTTCAAATGTTACAATATTATGTGGGAGATATGCGGTTATACGCATTGTAGGATACACCTTTTAAGTCCATGAGACATTCATGATAATCATCTTGTCCGTCTTTGTAAGTGTACTCATGAGCTTATTTCATACCAAAGAACACTACACAATACATTGCCAAACAAAATCGAAATAGTTAATTTTTGTGTGTGTTTATTATGTTTATGCATGGTTGATTTGTTGCAATTAATATCTATTAATTTAATCTTCTCTGGCTTTTTATTTTATAGATAATGCTGATTTTAGAAGTTTAATGAAAGCCATTGCCATGGCTAAAAGCATTTTCCTGTTTATCTAGCATGTTGTCCTAGGCTTGTAGCAATTGTTATTTATGTTTCAAAGTGTCCTAGATATGCTCTTTTAATAGCATTTCAATATGCAACAATATAAAAATAATTAGTTAGATGCGATAGAAATGTGAATGTCAAAAACAATGTGTAGTAAAGAAAGAAGGCTGAATTACAGAATGATTGAATTAAAATAATTATGAGGCAGCTTTTTGTGAATATAAAGTTGTATAGAAAAGAGATTTGGTGTTGTGGCAATGCACAATGGAGAGCAATATAATTTAGTTTTTAAAGTGATTGGATCTCACCTTCAAAAGTGTGTTCAAGATTTTGTTTTGTAGAAATCAGACAAAATTGAGTTCATTCTTGAAATTCAATTTCGAAAAGTGCAATAGTAAGTTTCAATTTTAAGGAATATAAAGTCACCTTCAATTTTCTTAAAACTTTTAAATAACATTACAAAATAATAAGTTAATGAAATGATAAATTTGAGTCTTTATTTTAAACATAATGAAGATGAACTAATGAAAAATTAATGTGAGGGCGGTTAAATGTAAATCTTACTATAGCCCAAATGAACATAGGAGTTAAGTTCACAAGTGAGTTACATAATACAAATACATGTCACCACAAATTTAATGTTGTTTACTGTTAGAATTTATTATCTATTTTTAATGCATGCCATTACTATTATTCTTTTAAGTAACTATTTCTCACTCTATTTTGAGTTTTATGACCTCCTCATTTTTATTGCTTTTTTCGTAAAATTGATTAAGTTGCTTACACTTATCATGTCTATGGACATGTCACCTACCGAGGATTATTGATTGGTGATTTCAATTTTACCTCTACCAAAATTGTATTATATTATTCAGTATTTTATCTAATTATACACAATCTTTTATTTTAAAAAAAATCTTCAATCTTACATTTCAAGTCCACGATATCTACAAATAACAACACAAATTGGCTCTGAATATTTTTTGTAATTATATTAGCATTTAGTACAAACACACATACACACACACTCTCTTAATGGAGATCGTTGATTTAGTACTATCACGATTGATATTTTTTTTATCAATGTTACTTTTTATGTCATGCATTGCTAAATCATAGCTTTATTTACCAACTTTAACATATATTTTCGATAACAACAACAACAACAAGAACAAGCTTTTATCTGTAATAATCCATTTTTGAGAGATTGGGTAAAAATCTTTGTAACTTAAAATATATCTCAAATTTCTGATCCTTCATATTTCAACTGAGTTAATTTTATAAAATTTTACACGAAATATTAACAAATTTGATATAAAAAACTATATATTAATTATGAATAGATTGAGAGAGATAAAAATTTGAAGTTATGAGCATAATTAAATTAATTAAAACCTTAATTATCCTAAATCTTTATGTAATCCCATTTTCACTGTTCCCATCGACATTACCGCGTTATAACTTCACGGGTGGTTTCAAATGGGGGAACTCTCCATTCCATTGTCTTCGAACCCTCTCTCCTCTCGGTTTGGTCACATGCCCTCCTTCCCTGTCTCAAATTCTCCCTTATGCAGCTGCAACGCTCGGCAAAAGCTCCTGTGAGGAGTTGCGATGATAGCACAACCCACAATTGCGACATGCATTGTAACAGGCTGGTCGAGCGACAATCAGGGAAGCTGCAAAGCAAGATTCTGAGTTCCAAGGAGATATTGGGAAGTGACAGTCAGGGAAGCTGTAGAGCAAGATTCTGAGTTCCAAGGAGATTTTGGTAAGTGATAACCCCTCTTTCACGCAAATTAAGGGTTTCCCTCCCTTTCCAACGTTGTTCTTCTAGGCCCTAGGGGAACCTGCGACTCCAACACTGTAGTCGTAGTCGGGATTCTACGCAAACACACGACAACAACTAATCGGCTAGTTTCTAGGGTCTGGGGTGAAATCGGTGAGTATGAAATCCTATTTCACGCTATTTGAGACATTCATTTTCTTCCTCTCACTTTCATATTGAGTTTTGCGATAAATCATACATCTTTTTGATCTCTGATCGCCGTAGCAATGACAAAGTTGCGTCGAACGCAACGAAGTTGATTCGTGGGTCTTCAAAAGAGTTTCCAACACGAATTCAGAAAGGTACAAATTTTTACCTATTAAATTATATTGTTTTTTTAGTGGCACTTTTATGTATTTGTTTGAATATTAAATTGTTACTAATAGAAATATAATGGTAGAGTTATATTTTCACCGTCTAATCGTCTGTTCCCGTCTTAGTTAATTCCAAGCTCTAGGCCAGGTCGTGGCATTATCCTACCAAGTAGTGTCCGCTACATGAATCCTTTTTCTCCATTGTCCTATGGAGTGTCATATTTTCATTTAATTATAATAAATTAAGATAATTTTTTATAAAATATGTCTTTTTAGGTCTATCTTGCCTTTCTTAACATAAGTAGAATCTAAAACATCTACTCTCCTAACAAGATCATCAGATGGTCGACGTTTAAAGTGACCAAAACGAATTCCTCTAATTTTATCTGCCACTAGGGCTACACCAACCCATACACAAATAGATTCATTTCACATTTGTCCCTGAGTGTCATGCCACTCATCGACCTAAGCATTCTCATCTCAGTAACACTTTACTTTGTTTTATGTTTCTCTTTTAATAATTGCCAACATTTTGCACGATCTCACCACCGTCTTATAAACTTTTTCTTTAAAGCTAAACGATACTTTTCTATCACACAAATAGGTCTGATGTATTTCTCTACTTCAACCAACCAACCTAAATTCTACTAATAACATTCCTATCTATATAACCATCACTTTGGACAATAGACCCTATATATCTAAAACATTCACACCTTTTAGTGATTTGATCACTCATAGTTATAACTCTGTCACTAGAGCAACTACTACTAAAAACTACTACTAAAATTACCTAAAATAACATTCCATGTATTCAGTTTTAGATCTACTCAAATGAAGGTCTTTAGACTCCGATGTAGACTTCCATAATTCAAGTTTTTCATGAACCCTTGTTTTAGTCTTATCCACAAGAAGGATACCATCAACGAAAAGCATACACCAAGGTACATCATCCTGCAAGTGTCCAGTAAGAGCATCCGTCATTAAAGCAAAAAAGATATAATCTTAAAGCCGATCACTGATGAAATCCAACTGAAATAGGAAAATACTTGGTCAATCCTCATTCTATGCAATCAATATTGAATAACTTTTAGATTCCTTGGTAAGTCTTTTTATCTTTTATGCATATTGAGTCAATTCTTGTGATATTTGATCACATGGCTTATACAATCAATGAAATTGTATAATGATCCTTTTGTTGATGTTTATATTATTTCTTCAATTGATTTTGCGCAAAAATCTCCGCATAATAGGCCTTTCTAGGTTACAACTAAGTTAAGCCTTTAGTCTTTTTCTAATCTCTAGCTGCACAGATATATTTGAATTTCAATTTATGTTTTTTATGCAATTAGGGATTTTTATCTTTAGCTAGTAGATATGATGTTATCATCCCTAGCTGCACAAAATCCACTTGTTTTATTGGAATCTGAAAAACAATAGATATGTGATGGTGCCATCATTCCTGGCTAGGCTAATTCCATTTGTTTATACATGAATTTGTCTGGCTTTTGTCCTACTTTTGATGTGGTTTTGCTCCTTTTAGATTTGTCATATTGTGAATCAAAGTTGGATTCATTTATACCTTTGAGCCTTTGTTTTATTGACCTGCTGTTCTGCTAATTATTTTTATAACTTTTGTTTTGAGCTTATAATGTTTTGTCATAACTCCGTTTACTTAAGTTTGTTTGATTTAACTATCTTTCTCAATAAATATGTCCTTTTATTTTTATTATTTAAGAAATGTAAGAAATCATATTCTTCTGTATCAGGCTGAGGTTCATGATGTTAGCAAAGAAATGGAGCTTGATCTAATCAAGCAGTATAGTCAGGTTCTGCTTTTTTAGTTTTATTCTACTGTAACTCAATCTTTTAACCATTCCTTATTTCCATGCTATCTCTGACAGAGGACTTGGTTTGCTATGACTAGGTGGAGCGAATCTTTGCTTATAGAATCAGCACAACTGGAAATGATGATGTAGTAACTGAATATTTAGTCAAATGGCAAGGTTTACCATATGCTGAATCAACCTGGTAATCTTGATTCACTCGTGTCTAGACGGATAATGTAAATGCAATATTTATTATAATCAATTACCATTTTGGATTGTAAATGTATGCAGCGATTTACTTGGTATTTGTGTATTAATAAGCAACAGTTTCGATTGTGTTTGTAAAATGATAAAATATATTACACACCGTAACTAGGCACTTGCAGCCTGCTTGGATTTGAAAAGTTCTTTTGGGATTCTATTTTTTGAACGTTTAGAACTTTTGAAATTTTATCATTCACAATTAGTTTGTTTCATTTTCATAATGGAAGTAATTATTTTGGACCCTTTTTTCTTTGCAGAATATTATACTCTGTTTTTTCTTGCTAAGTTGCTTATATAATATGTTTCTGATTATATATCTTTTTTTCACTTGACATTGCGGTATAACTAGTGCGCCACCTTTTTTTTTGGTTGGCTTCTCAAAGGAATATCTTTTTTGGTTGTTTGCAATACACATTATTTTTCCTGAATAAACAAAACGATGATCCTTTGTTTTGAAAAATAGAACAGCTTTTCATATTTTGAAAAAGAGAATAGCTGACATATATGTCATTGACGCTTGTCAGAGCAATTTTTTGGATTTAATTTTCTCTTAGATTTTTTTTACTGAGATGCCTGCCTTTCTAATCAGTTTACTAAATCTCTGCATGTTAGCATATTTAATGTCAAATCGTTTGTGCAGGAGTATGGCAGCATTCATACATGTTTCACTTCGTCTGTGCAATTTTTGTAACATATTTGGTATCTTATGATTGGATATTTCAGGGAAAAAGATACAGATATTGCATTTGCTCAAGATAGCATTGATGAATTTAAGGTAACATTTATTTTTATAAGTGATACCTGGAATAAGTTTCATTTCCATAGATGCTAAGTTTTACTTTATAAATTTTGGTTTTGTGCTATAAAGATGCCTAAAAACTGACCCGGTCATGGTCATGGGCTTAATTGATTTAATCGCCATTGTAATTCGTTGATGCCATTATCTGGTCAATGTCAAAAACGCAACAAGGTTTTATGGTGATGGTTTTGAAGGGAAGCTAAGCAAATGTTGGGCAAAAATGTTTTATGGTCAATGTGTTGAAGGGCAGTAATGCAAACATTAGTGTGAATGAGAACTTTTTAAGGGAATGAGGCGAGCGATGGATGATGGGAACTTTTTGGGAGGATTGGATGATGGGATGGAGCTAGTGGAGTGAAAATTTGGTTTAATATGAGTAGTTGTGTTGGAAAAAACAGACAGAAGTTCAAAGATGCTTGAATGGTTTTGATTCACTTTCTTTTGCTCATATTGGAGTCTTATAGATGAGAGGAAAAGAGATTAAAATTGCAGAGAGGAAATAACTAATCTTATTCCTCCTTTTTCCGTCAAATTTAGGAGTTTGAATGATATACATTGCACCCAATCTTAAAGATATATCCGTTTCCCAAGCTGCAGCTTAGTAGTGGCTGTAAGTGCTGTGTTTGTTGGCCAGTGAATCATAAGTAAACCTTGTTGCCTCCTAGAAGTAGTAGCTAGTTAATTGGACAGATATACCAGGTGTTTGAAAGAAACTTGATATTGGCTCAGCTTGTATATTTCTTGCATGTGTTTACATCTCGCGTAACATGTAAATGAAGTGAAAATGACACACACATATACACAGCTTTATTTATTTATTTATTTATCATTTCGCTAATATATTAAGTCTATTTTTCTATGTAATGATTATCTTTTTCAAACTGTCTATTTTTACAATACATAATTAAGGTATAAGACAAAAAAATGTTTTTTTCCCTTTAAGCTTTATAACTGAGATTCATTGGCATTGTGGTTTTTTTTATCTTTTTTATTATTTGCAGTGTGGTTATTTCATAATATCTTACTTTTTCAGCATTGTTCTATTAGAAGCCCAGTAAAGGGCCTAAGTGCTTAGTTTGCTATGCGAGAATTTCTTGGACATTTTGTTTTTATATGAAGGCTTTGTTGAACATTTTGGTGTTGGAAAGTAATATTGAGTTTAATTTTGTTGAAATTTCACTTGTCAACTTCTTATTGATTCATTTTTTGTAAGTTATCGTTACAGTTGTGCCTGAAATTTGATAAATGTTAATCAGTTTCATTTTTTTTTTCTTTTAACAGGCTCGTGAAGCGGCCATGACCGTGCAAGGAAAGTTGGTCGACTTTCAGAGAAGAAAGAGCAAAGGTTCTTACCGTCTGATGCAGAATGTATTTATTTTAGATTTTGCCTTGTGCTTGCATTATAGATTGCAACATGACTATTGAGATAAAAGAAAACAGTAGAGATAATTACATTTTTAAAATGGAATGGTGGTCTTAACAGGAAACAAATGAGAATAGGGATTTCAATGGTTTGATTCTTTTATCATGTGAATTTCAACAATAACCTATTTATTGGCTGTGTACTTGAGGTTTTTGTACTTTTATTTTTCTTTTATTACATTTGAATATGAAGTACTAGCTTTTTTTGAATTTGATGCTATTATACAGTTAAGTACTTTCCTTTTTTAAGCTTCTTGCTAGCATGATGCAACTTATTTGATTACACGAAGGTTTTAATTTTCAAGGACTAATATGGGTTAGACTTGTATCATATTTGTTAGACACTAAGATGGTGGTAAGCTAAGCTCTAATTACGCCTTTTTTTTCCCTTAAAATGGTCTCTGGACTTCGGGGGATTTTAAACTTAGCTTTTCTTTTTATTAAGTTCTTGGCTTTCGTTTTACTTCTAATGGATGCACAATCTGTTTTGTTCTTGTCAGATCACTATGGTTGTTCTAATGCTTCTAAGAACCACGACGACCTCTTGGAATTTTTGGCAGTTTTGCTTAATTGATTTTCTTTTCTTAGAATTAACAGAACACTTTTCTACTATACACATATAAAAGTTTTCCGCGTCAATTCATTGGCACCCCCTAGAATACTTCATGATTCATCAAGCGTAGATACATTTTTGGTTGCTAATTTCTTAGTGAAGGATGATGATTAGTGGATTCTTCTCTTATTGTTCGTTAATCTTATAAAGAATCGCTTCTTTTGGGGTCCTATGAGTTTTCTTATATAGCATTGAAATTAGACACAGGAAAGAAGACGAGGAAAAAATTGGAAGAAATCAATTCACCTCAATTTGAAAATCTGAATATTGCAATATGTATCAATATTAAATACCACTAAATACAATAGGTAGAATACCTAAAAGATACTCTCTATTTAGTCCCATTCAGCAACTTTTCATTGAGGGCCAAACCATGACCTTTCAAGAGAAATAACTGCAAGAAAATGTCTTTATGGAGAACTGCTTGCTACCTTGATCATGCCAGTAGGAATTGCCAAACCATCTTGCCATTTTGTGCTTTGGATATCTATCAAGGGCAGTCTTTTTGCAGAGGAAAATTTTATTATCTTTTCTCTTTTTTTCGAAGATGTGGCCATATTCAACACTTTCTTAAGCTGGATTTAAATATTATAGAAATTAAACTTGTTTATTTTTTATTATTTCAAATAGAGGCTTTGGTAACTCTTTGGTTAGGATGTTAGCAAGCTATTTGGGAGGGGGGGGGGTGGTGTGGATGGATTGAGTGGGGTGGAGGGGAGTATATAAAACAAACAAATCTTTATTGTTGTGCATTATATTGATAACAGTCTAATTGTCATAATATTATATTCTCCCACAAGAAGCTTCAATAACATTAATTCAATAATCCTTTTAGCCACTAATCTGAGTTCATATTTTTCTACACTTGTCATGACATCGTAGTTTTTTACGTTTCCACATAATAAGATTATTTCATAGATACTTGTAGCAACCAACTATAGGTTTTTTTTGTCAACTATGGAGCATTCCCGATCATTTTTTATCATAGGCTTCTATTATTCTTGATTCCTCTTTTTCTTGAATGATGAGTGATAAATCACAAAAAGTGGCTTAAACTCATGGCTTTAGAGATAAAATCTTCTTAATTAACCAATGGGATATGGTTCCTTCCACAAAGAAGTCCCCTTTCTAGGTTTATTTTAAGTACTTGAATATTCTCGTGACAACATCCATGTGTTCTTCATGGGATGCATGCATTAATTGACTTGATATACTAACAAAAAAAAAAGAATGTCAGGTATGGTTTCTAACAAATAGACAAGTTTAACAACTATTTTTTTTATATATTTTTTTCTCTTATTGATTGGATTTTCAGTGCTAAATGAAGTGCTCATTGGTTTGTTTCTAACCAAACTAGTTTCTTTTAAATGATCAAGAGCATATTTTCTTTGAAATATAGTAATATTAGATTTGTTTCTGGCAATTTTCATTTCGGGAAAATATTTGAAAGGGGCCAATTTCTTTGATTTTGAACTTCTCAACTGGTCCTTTTTTTGTAAGTTGCTTACTTCCAAACCGTGATTTTTTTGCGGCAATAATATCATCACTATATACAGCTATTATGTTAGAATTATCATCCTTATGTTTCCATAAACTGTGATCATAGTGATCCTATTTAAAACCTTGTTGATACACAACTTTGGTGAACCTTCTCCAACTAGGCTCTTGATTGTTTGAGCCTTAAATATGATTTTTTTTTTAAACTTGCATACTAAACCTTCTTTCCCAAAGTCACTGACCTTTGAAGTAATATTATATTTATTTCTGGCAATTTTCATTTGGAGAAAGTATCTGAAACGACCAAGTTCTTTGATGGTGAACTTCTCAACCAACCTTTTTTTTAAGATGCTGACTTCGAAACCATGATTTTTTGTAGCAATAATATCTTCATCATACACAATTAGTATGTTAGAATTACCATCCTTATTTTTGTAGAACAAAGTGTGATCATAGTGATCCTATTTAATTTCCTATTGATGCACAACTTTGGTGAACCTTTTCCAACTAGGCTCTTCGTGATTATTTGTGCCGTAAATAGATTTGTTTTTCAACTTGCATGCTAAATTTGCTTTCCCAGAGTTGCTGACCTTTGAAGGAAGATGCATGCAAAAATTTTCATTCATTTTACCATTAAAAAAATGTATTATTTATTTATTATTATTATTATTTTTTGCATCCAGTTCGTGAACTGGCAAGTCAAGACTAACTTACGTTGAGAGAAGAACCTGAATAGTATTAAGTTTAGCGACATGGGGAACAGTCTAAGGGTAGTCAATCTCATAAGTTTGGATGAACTCTTTTGTAACCAATCATGCTCTCTATCTATCAATATATCCATCTGACAAATATTTGAATGTAAATCCCTATTCACATCCAAGAAGAATTGCATCTTTGCTTCTTTGAATGTCATTCCATGTTCCTTTTTGTTTAAGAATTTTAGTTTTGTATTCCATATGCAAATTTGGCTTCTTAAGTTGTCTCACCCGTAGGTTTCTGGGATTTCAATCTTAGCTAAATTGGAGACCAAAGCTTTCGTCGAGGATGATTAATGATAACGTCTCACCACAATTTTTTTTGGATGTTGACTGCAAGAAATAGCATCGTTTCTTAGAGCAATAAGCAATTCTTTAATAATTTTATATAAAAAATAGTTTTTGAATTTCTTGAGTGCATGCATGTTTCATGACAAACTTTGAGTGATAGAGGAGTTTCAATTCTTTATAGATTCTTCTTTTGAGAGTCAACAGAGTTTAATGTAATGTTGTAGGATCGAGTTTTAGGTATGTTTGTTTGATAAATTTAGAGAAATATGAGTCACGTAATGTCAACATTGTTGGTTATGGAAGATCAAGATAGTTGAATTTACAAGCTAGAGGTTTTCGAAGGAAAATTTATTAAAATTTCGCTCATCTTCTATCTCTCATGAAAAAATAAAATAAAATAAAATTTGAAAGAGGGTTTATCTTCAAAGATAGTGATGCCCATAGATATATATATATATATATATATATATATATTGCATGAAAATAACATTCACGTAAACTTTGATCTGCTTCATGCTTAAGAAAAATACATTTGAAAGCTTTGGGATCTTGCTCGAGGAAAGTACATATTTTTTTTTCAAGAAAATAACATTAACATAATCTTTGATCTGCTTCATGCTTGGGGAAAATACATTTGAAAGCTTTGGGATTAAGTTTATTCCTATTAAGTTCTTTACCGTGGACAAAGATAATTCACTCAATAATCTTAAGAGGCAAAATTGACGTAAGAGAGTTTAGAAAGCATTTGGAAAAACAATCGTTTGAATTTTTGAACTGAAGTGCATCAGTGAGGGGTCGATTTATATCATAGAGGAATGTGAGAATGACATCATTGCAATAAAATTTTTGGGTATTGACGGTGAATATAATTGATCTTTCCACCTCTAAGAGACCTGATTTTTTATTCATTTATTAATTTAATTTTGTTGGGCCATATTCGGGCAAGAGTTTTGATGGATAATACTATTATGATTTAAGTAACTTCAAGAATAGCTAACAAAAGGTCCTAAATATTGTGGACGTTAGCAGAGTATTTGGCAGTTTTCAAACCTCATTGTAGAAGCTTTAAAAAAATTATTCCAGCAAGTATAGCTAATAAATGTGTTTGATCATCAATAAAAACATTGAACCACAAATTGGAATAAAAACTTTTAGAGTTGAGTCAGTCCTCAATATCACTATGCACAAGTAAAAAAAAATGGTCGCTTTATGTGGCTCTTGCTTGAAGATAGCCTTTTGGTGTTTTCTAAGTTGACATTTTACATAAAAAGGCTTCTTTATTTAAAAAAAAAGTAAGGAAAGAAAATTTTTATGTACAAAAAAATTAAGATTACCAATTTATAATGTCATAACATAATTTGATTTTTCTTGGCAACAGGTGAAAATTCCATGTTGATAGTAAGGGCGCCAGGACGTCCTTATTCTCATTTTGATTCCTCGTGAAAATAGTATAGTTCTCCAGCCTTGTTGGCACTCGCAATCTTCTTACCTGATCTTTGGTCATAGGATTCACGACATTTAGATGGAAAACAATTTTGTGGTTCCAACTTACAATCATTTGTTATCATACTTGTAAAATAGAATTTAGACAATGCCTAAAGTTTATTGATTTCTATCACAACATTATGGGATGTAGACTCATCAATAATTTTTTACGCTCGAAGCTTCAAGGTACAATATATTGATGAGAATTGATGAACACAACTTGTCATGCAATTTGATAGGTTGTTGGCCCAGTGTAAGGGTAAGCAGAAATTACCTATCTAGGCTATAAGAGAGGAGTTGGAAGCCTTCTCATTAGCAGCTGATTTGTGTGGAAGGTCCAATTTCATCTTTAGTAATTTGCTTTTAGTTTGATAAACTTTTGTGTCTTTGAATTGTAGGACGAATATGATTTGTTGGCTTGATGTAAAATTCACAACAATTCACTCTGTGATTAATCTTTTTATAGAAATTATATGAAAAATTACCCATTTTCAATTTCTCAAGTCATTTTCCAAGTTTTGCTCCGGACTTCTAATGAAATGACCGGGCATTTCAATTTGAAGGTAGTTCTTAGTACTTTGAAGAGTTAAAATCTTATTCTGCCTTCTATTCTTCAAACCCACCAAATGCTGCAATTTTGATTAGTGGAAGAATCCCCGAAAATTTTTATGAATTTCATCTAGATTTTTATTTAGAGTTGTAGGAAAATCATAAATTCTTGTACTTTCTACAAGTTTGGTGTATTTATCTGCACACTACTTACACCAATTATTTGGCTCAAAAATATCTAGTTCTTACCAATGTTGATGAAGTGTTCAGTGAAACTTATGTTTTCTTATTTAAGACCATGTGCATGTTGTCATATTCCACATAATTAAGAGGAATTTCATGATCTGAATACTCTTATGTTGTTTTTTTCCCCATTGTAGCTAAGTACAAGGTTCTAATGTGCTCTGCCATATCATTGATAAACCAAGATATCACTAAGTTATTGTCGGTATTCCACATAGGAATGGAAGGTCGCCCCCTTCCGGATGTCAGATGATGCTTTTTATGCATTCAATATATTTTTTTTGCCTTGAATCATCGTTAGGAAGGAATACTTTGCATCTTTTAGAGTAAGATTTGAAGAAGTAAGTGCTCCATTGAGAATTCCGAATTATAGACGATTTGGTTAGGTGGAGAAATAGCCTATCTCTTTACCATCTATGTCTGACCATGGAACCCTATTGTAATTGCTAGCCATTGATTAGCCAGAAGCTAACTTTGATACTGCATAAAAATGAAATGTGAAAGGGAAGAGAGGCAAAGTGGTGGAGTACTTCATTGCTTGAGTAGGCCAAAATTGGACCATATAAATAGAGTTACGATGGTGAAAAATAATGAATAAATGTCATCCTATCATAAAAAAATATCTAAATATTTCGGACTTCAGTGCATTTTAATATAAAAAACCACTGAATACAATGGATATAATTTTTAAAGTGGCCCCTAATTCGCCTCAATCCACCACTCTTCCATTGTGGGCCACTGTGAGCTGATATGAGATAGAACTGCAGGAAATGCCATTTAGTAAGGGCTGCCAGTTGCCCTTATTACAATGGCAGGAACCTTCCTCCCACCTTATCATTTGTGCGTTGGATGTCAATCAAGAGAAGATTACAAATATGTTAGAAGATAAATTTATTATTTTTTTCACTTCTTTTTAAATATGTGGTAACATTCAACATGTATAGTTGACCTTGTTCCCTGCCATTTTTACATGAGCACTTGTTGAACTTTTTACTTTTTTTGGCATAATTTCCCCCTCACCTCAGCATTGTACTTAAATTTCTTAATGTTGCAATTTATGTACTATTATAAGATATTACTCTATTAATTGGGTATCATTCTTTATTTACAGCTAGTTTACGGAGGCTTGATGAACAACCTGATTGGTTGAAAGGAGGCAAGCTACGTGATTATCAGCTTGAGGGATTGAACTTTCTGGTTAATAGGTATTATATGCTTTACTATATAGTAAATTATAATGAGGTGATCGGGTCATTGACTTGTGCATGAAATTCATGTGCTGCAACAATAGGTCTGTTAGCTATCTTTAACACAAAGCTTGAAATGATTTTACTCTTTTATTATTTATTTTTCATAATATATGGGATAGATAAAAAGTTTCTCCTAGTGTACCAGAAGTTTATAATCTCCTTTCTAGCACAGTGTCATGCCCCACTTGATTAGTACATAGATTGTTGCATGTTTTATGAGAAAGGGAGAGGAGGGGAGTCGGCATCCTTTGTATTACTGATTGATTCGGTGGTTGTTGATTTTCAACTTATTTCCTGATAGATGCAGGGAAGAGTGCAAAAGGCACCACCCTTGATGGTTTTGTTTGCAAAAGTTTTAAAATTGTTTTCCACTCATCAAGCATTCTTTAGACATTTTTATTAACAAGTACAATGTCGATGTCTTTATTTCAAGCTTAGATGACAATGGACTGTAAATTACGTTTTATGCACCTTCCAAAACTAAGAGACCTATGTAGAATTTCTAGCAAACCTTGGTAGACCTGGTTTCAATTTATGCATCCTTGCTTTGTCAGGCTTGTTTCTGTTTTAGTTTGTGCTGATAAGGGACATTCTTCATTGTATGCTTCTTAATGCCCCCATTTTTATCTTAACACAGTTGGAGAAATGATACAAATGTCATTTTAGCTGATGAAATGGGTCTTGGTAAAACAGTGCAGTCAGTTTCTATGTTAGGCTTTCTTCAGGTGGGCTTCTTGTAGTTTCCATTTTGATATTGCTTACTTTTCTTATTTTCTTTTTTATTTTTGCTTTTATTTATGCATATTTTTCTTGTTTCATGCCGTTACAGTATGCTCAACAAATTCATGGCCCTTTTCTTGTTGTTGTTCCTCTTTCAACTTTATCTAATTGGGCAAAGGAATTTAAAAAGTGGCTTCCCGAAATGAATATAGTTGTATATGTTGGAAATCGTGCTAGCAGAGAGGTTAGTCGTGCTTTTTCTATGTCATTTACTTGGTTCATGCTTGCTTACATTCCAATACTATCTATTTTTGTAGGTGCAATCTGACTTCCAATATTTGACTATAAACTAATCATATGCAAAATTTGGCTTCTAGTTGCATTGTGGTGTGGAAGGAATGTTGGTTTTCTTTATAAATATAGCGGAATATTGATGTATATCCCCATTTTGAAAACTGTGTCCGCTTTCAAAGGTTCATTTTCTTCGAAGGCTTGGTTACTACTTGAAAAGCCGTTCTTGTTTTATTCACCACAGGTTATTAGAGTTTGTACGCTCTTGATGATTAGTTAATTTTTAAGACTTATAAAAGCCCTTATTTCTATTTTTTGTTTGTTGATACCGGGCTTTAAGCTTAATATTGCTGGATAATATTGACTTGGATGAACATAGCAAACATTGGATTAGCCTTTGGTAAAAATTAAACGTGACAATATAGTTCTGCTAGTTTTCTCTTTCTTTTTGTCTTTCCTTGGGAATTTATTCAGTGTTGAAGTCCTCATTCAAATAAGCCTTTGCCTTCATTTAGCTTGTTTTGGCCTTGTTGCTGGGCAAATGAGCTAGATTATTTGTTTATTCTAAGTGAATTGAGTCTTGGGATTCCTATTCAGTTGATTCAATTTCCTTTCCCCAAAGTTGAATCTTCTTGTCCTTTAGTGAAATGCATAGACATTGCGTTTGTAGTTGCGGTGCAGTGTCGCAGTTTAGTTTTTTCTGTTCGGCAAAACTGCGTTTTATTTGTTTTCTCAAAAAAATTGTTGCTAAAAGATTTGTTTTCCCACCATACCTCGCTACCTGCTAGAGAGCTGCGTTCTGATTTTTTTTTTTTTTAAATATAATAGTCACCGCAGCTTTTTGAACAACAGTTTTCTTCTACAACAGTTTCACAACTGTTTCTTCAAACAAGTGCAGCTGCCCCAAACAGGTCTTGTTGTTTTTGGAAAATATATATATATTTTTTCACATAAAATCATATGTACCATTATGTGAGGCACATACTAAGAAGCATGCTCCGAGACACACATCTCCTTCATGGAAGAGCACGCAGCTACACTGAATCTTTTAAGCTCATCCATCTGCTGTGTTTCACTTTTTTTGTGTCTATAAGTGAGATTGAGCTATTTGTCTGTTCTTTGACATGTTGGTGTAGTTCGATTTTACCATCTTCTATGATAGGATTTAATATCAAAGCACTGAGAACTGTGTCAGGTAAAAAGAGCTTAACAAGTGCAAAAGCATCCCAACCACTGTGGGGTCTGAGAAGGGACGCAGGGCTTTTTCTTGATCCAAACTTCTATGATATTCAAAGCAATAGGCATGAACTTGGAAACAAAGCTGTTGCACCAAGCTCTGAAGTGTTTCATGTCATCCAGAGTTTTAAAAATGGAGGATGATAAGAATTTTATGGTTTCAACTCAACTATCTAAGAACTTAAAAGGTTTCTGATGCTGGCGATTTTTGCCGGTTCATGAGCTGTTCTGTCAAACTGATGTACTTTATTTGATAATTAAAATTTGTTTGCATCGAATTCTGAAAATGATTGGAAATTTTTCAGATTTTGCCATATTTAAAACAGAATTTTTGCTAATTTTACAAGTTCATGTAGTCATGCACTTTTGTATGTCTACGTGTTTTAATACTGCTATGATCAGTATTTTTTCGTGCATTTGATTTTAATGTGAAGGAATAGTTTAGGATTTTGGCTGATCATTCTTCTACCAAGGTAGATTAGAGGGTTTTCTTAGATGGTTTGGTCACATTAAATGTCGACCATCTGATACCCCAAACAGGAGAGTAGATCTTTTAGACTTATGTTAAAAAGGCAGAGGTAGACCTAAAAAGACTTGGATGTGTTTTATAAAAAGTGATCTTAATTTATTAGAATTAAATGAAAATACGACTTTCAATTGGACACAATGGAAAAAAATTATTCATGTAACCAGCTAAAGGCTTGTTGTTGTACTCTTCTACCAATTTATGTTTCTCTTATATTTGCAATTGTGAGTCAAGAAAGTCTGCATAGTTTTAATAATAAAACAAATATTTTTTCAAAGAGCAGGTTTGTCAACAGTATGAATTTCATAATAACTCCGACAGTAGCAGACACATAAAATTCAATACATTGTTGACGACATATGAAGTTCTATTGAAAGACAAAGCCGCGCTTTCTAAGATCAGATGGAACTATCTAATGGTTGATGAGGCTCACAGGCTCAAGAACAGTGAGGCGTCATTGTACACTACTTTGTCGGTATGCTTACTATAATATTTTTCTTTTTAACATTTTTATTTTTATCTTTCCAACACTTTACTAACAATTGGAAGTATAGTTTTTTTTTTTATTTTTTATTCAAGATAATCTTAGTCGATCTATTTGGTGTTGCAGGAATTTAGTACGAAGAACAAGCTTCTTGTTACTGGCACTCCTTTGCAAAACAGTGTTGAGGAGCTATGGTGTGCTTCTTCATCTGAAATTTTCATTTGAAATATTGATGAAGATTTACTTCATCAAGCATGTAATTGTTTTCATTCATTGTATCGTTTGGCACTATTAAATTGGCTTGGACGAATAGAATATTTGAACTTCTCATTATTCCGAAGGAAGATTTACATACATGCCACACAATGCTTATGTATTTACATATCTAATACCTAAACTTTGATATTTACATTTATACAATTTTACCTATTCATGAAAAGGCATATTTCATTTTTTAAGAGTTGATAATAATGGTATTTTTGATGTGATGTGAAAGATTTGCATGCTATAAAGATAAAAATCAAACTTTAGGTGTTAGATATTAAAATTCAAAAGAATTGTGTGTTATGTATGTAAATGCCCCTATTTTAAAATAGAAATTGTAATTTTATTTATTACTTCCGAAATCAATGCCAGAAGTTTCACTTACTAAAGCATTTTAAAGTTGTGATTATATTTCTAAGAATGAGAAATGCAAGGTATATTATTTGGATTCTTTTTGCATCATGTACAACTTGGACTGGATCTGCACGGCCACTATGGATATTCTAATCACAACTGGAGATGAGGCTCACTAACTATGAAATTAAATATTGATAGTAGAATTTATTTAAGCAATTATTATCTGTTATATATATTTATATTTATATATAATTAAACCTAACTTAATATAGGATTCATTAGGCAAAAAGTAATGCAATTATATTTCTAGTGTAGCTGCTGAATTGGGTCAAGGAATCTGAGCTTGTGGCTCACCAGTCATGAGTTTTAATTTGGTGGAAAAGTATTTAGGTTTAGAAATCATGTGTGAGAATGCACTCATTTGTTCTTGAGGAACAGAAGGCGTAGAAAAGATGGGCGTGGAATGATAGAATGTAAACTTGTAGTTAAGGCCGTTATGGCAACACAATTTGAAAGCTGGAATTGGGTTTTGAGTGGGTAATGAAGGAAGAGGGAATAAGTGAGTTGGGGTTGTGGAGTTAGAGCTATGAATATTGTGGTGCTTGGAAAATAGAAGATGATATTTGTTGATGTTGTTGACGCCTCATTGCTACTATTGGCCAATGGTTGGCAGTATGCTGCATTATAAATGGAGCATCTCTGTTTGTAGGGGTGACTGCGATTAACTTGAATTGCAAAAGATTTTGCAGATGGAACTGTAGAGGTCTCCCTTGATCTCTCTCTCAGTGTTAGATGAGCTAGCTCTTGAGGACATCGTTTGTGATGATGGTCTTATTCTGCTTGTGTAAGAAATGCGTGTTGATCTTGCTGATGGGTTGATGCACTCCCTCACACTCTTGGATCATCTTCTTGGGTGATTAGAAATTAATAGTTTATTGGCATGCTCATTCCTATTCTACAAACAGTGTCTGGAGAGGATATAGAATAATATGGATATATAGGGGGGTATCTCATGCTGTTTATTGACAAAATTGCTAATTCCTCTGTATTAAAATTATTGATTATTTTCTCTTGCTGAATGGTTTGAACAAAATAGTAGGATGAGATGTTGGCAAATTGACTTGATCAAACCTTGTCTATTGTAGTATAGAGAAGAAACCGTTGTATACATGCAATATTCTACTTCTAGAGAAGACACATCTTTGAAACCCAGGCATTTCATGCAAACTTATTTAACTGTTGACAGGGCTCTTTTACATTTCCTTGATCCTGGCAAGTTCAGCAGCAAAGAGGATTTTATTGAAAAATACAAGAATCTAAGCTCATTCAATGAAATTGAGGTACAGTGTTTAACTTTCATAATTATCATTTACCTTGCGTTTGTGCTCCTTCTATTTTATTCTCCATGTTGGCATTCTTGTCGTAATTATCATGTTGGCTTTATTTCAACCATCAGTGATTGGCTTGCTAAATCCTTTTTCATAATTGATTTTGTTAAGAGTTGCATTTGCTATTAAATAGTTTTTTAGAAGCATTTGAATTTTTTATCTGCATTTTTACTTTGTTCTGAAGTGATCTGAATTTGCCTTTAGCTAGCTAATCTTCACAAGGAACTGAGGCCACACATTCTACGTAGAGTTATAAAGGATGTCGAGAAATCTTTGCCCCCCAAAATTGAGCGCATCCTTCGAGTGGAAATGTCTCCTCTTCAGAAACAGTGAGATTTTCATTAAAATGCAGTGTTTTCCACAAATTATTCTTAATGTTTGGCTCATGCTCGTATCTATTTTAAATTAGGTATTACAAATGGATTTTGGAGCGTAACTTTCATAGTCTCAATAAAGGAGTTCGTGGAAATCAGGTAATTTTCCATGGTCTTTGACTGATTAGTTATTTTTTTATTTCTTTGCACGTGAATGCTTATGCCACATAAGACAATCTCCAGATAATTTACAAGTATGTTTTCAACTTGCCATCAGGTTTTCTGTGTCATAATAGCTTGATCTAGCAACAAAGATGTGGAAATAATCTGTACTGTTTAAAATTAATATTTAATATGCATAAATGTTCATATTGATTATGCAATGAAAGTATCATGGAAGATTGAAGGTAAATATTACCAAACTATAATTAGATCAGTCAAGTTTGATGTCCTGTGTTGGGCAAAATAGAAGCCTCTGCTAGCTCAACTGAATGGTAGAAATCACATTTTAAGATGGCTATATGGAAAGAAAATAAATGTCATGCTTTGCCTCATGTTTTTAAAAGTTTTGGCTACATATCGAATGTACATTGTTAGTTTTCCACAATATATATTTGTATATTACATGCTACAATCATTTTTTATCAATTTTGTATAGTTGAGGGACTAAATTCGAGAAATATGTTTTGGGACTAATTTGGCCCATACATTGGGTGTGTGGGAATGATGCATGAACAAATCTAAACTTTTGTAAGTGTTTATTAATGTCATTTTATCATTCTTATTGGTCCAATGATTGATGAATGGTTAAATTATTATAAAAATTGTGAAATTCTATCTATTTAGTATTTTTTTAGGTTATATAGATTACAATATCGGTGAAAGAGTAGATAAGATGGTAGATATCTGAAGAAAAGATCTATTCAGAATATGCATTTTCCTCCTATGGTGAGAAAATTTGATCTTCTATAGTTATATCCACTAGAATAAATAAAGTCTTAATTTCAGTCATTCTTCATTGTAGGGAGCCAAACCTCACATTATTCTAATAAAAAATGTACATATTTACTTAGTTCGTCTTAAAGTTAACTCTTCCTTCAGCACCTTATTATTATTTTTTAAGAAACAAAGTCATATAAAGGGGTGAGTACTAAACTTATTTGGTTGTACGAAGCTTAATATTTCAAGTAACATTAAAGGTAAACTAATGTGCATTAAGAAAACTTCATCAATAAAAACATCTTTAATACTTGATACAAGCAATAATGTGACATGTCATGTGTAAGGGAACCTTAACTATAACCAATGCAAATAGTGCATATTAGTTGTTAGATGAGTATCATGCATTATTGATAACTTAATGAATTTCAATAATGGTCTAGGAAATGAAGCATTATACAAATACTATTAATATAACTTACATGTCAATGAATGGGAATTTCATGTGGATAGTAGCATTTTACAATAACAATTTACATGAGTTCCGAGTTGAAGAACTAGTAGTAATGTAGTGACCTCGTAGCTGAACTCATAGGTTCTACTATAAACTTACTAACCTTGGCATGTGATAGGCCATGTTGATCCATGCTTATGCACCAAACAATAATAAGATGCTATCTGAATATATTTGTTATTTAGATTGCAATGATTGTATAAATCTTATGCATTATGCAACTTTTAAAATGCAGTGAGTCTATGGAAGTTATGATTGCTTATTATCATGCTTATAATAAATGTTCAATGGGAAATAACTAAATACGTGCAACTCTATATGCACGAGTATTTTAAGCGGTGATATATGTATGTCGAGTTGTACATCATGCTATAGTAGAGTAATCTACCTAGTCTGTTGAACATATATATCCATAATGTTGTGGAAAGACACTTTATTGTAGTTTTAAGCCTGGAACTGTGTATCTTAAACAGTTCAAAGGAACTTCTGTTTGCTTGGCACAGTTTCATTTGTAAAATTTGTTGTGAAACTAGTGTAGTAAAAATATATTTTTTTTAAGCTGTTGTGAATATTATAGACTTTTTCTTCTTTTAAAAAGTAGGCATCCACTTTTTGGCAGCTATCACACACTTGTAGTTCTGATTTTGAAAGCTTATTCTCATCATTAATATTTCTATAAAATTGTTCTGTTAAATAATATTAGTGTGGTGCCAAACTATAATGTAAAGTCATCCTAAAGGTCAATTTTGATTCCAACCATCTTAATATTTATGAAACCCAGAGTGCACAACATAGGTCAATCATACCATACAAGTTACACAAATAAATGGTTTAATTCCTTAATAATTTAATTCTAAAATTTCTCATTTTGCTCTATTATCCGTCGGCGTTTAAAAGGGGGAAGTTGCGTTTCGGGGTCGCCCGTAAGAAGCTGTCGGCCGCCGGAATCGAATTACTTAAATCCCTAGATTAATTTTTGTTCTACACTGAACCACTAATTAATTTTATATTATTAATATTTAGAGGTAATGCTAGAATTTATGCATTGATAATTGAGTATAAATTGAACTTATAGTTGACTAAAAATATTTCTTAATTTAAGATTTAACAAACTGTTGTGCTAGTCAGCTATTCTAGTATAAAATGATTACAAAACTCTTGGAGCATTTATAGTTAGCTTATCTTAGTTTTTTTTTTTTTTGGTTAATTTAATTTAGAAGGCTATTTAACAATGAAATTTTTCGTGAGATTTCCCAAAATTATCAATGGCCTATTTGGTTTGCATTTATGCTCGGCGTTATGTTACTTGAATGCAGAATGACAAAAAAATCATTTTCTGAATCTAGGTCCAACTTAAGCTTATCTTTGTTGTTATGCTTGCTTATGGGCGGCCAAACACTGGCTTAATGACAGCTCTAGTCAAAAACGTAAAAAAAAATAAAGAAATAAAATTTTGTTAAGTAAAAATTTATAAAAAAATCAATTATATAATAAATGATTAATTAATAAATTAATTATTATTAATAATATACAATGAGCCATTTGGAATATTTTAGATTAATTAAGGTTTTAACTGAGCTCATTTATATTTTTAATTTGATCAACCTCAAATTATAAATAAATACATAATTAACTAACAATCAATAATTAATTATTTACTTGGATTAACCGAGGATTAATTGAAAGATTTATTAATATATTAATTCTCATTACTAGTTAGTTGGGGTAATTAGTTATGGGATAATTAATTAAATACTTTATTGCTCTCAGTAATAAAATTTTAATTATGATTAATAAGGATTTTAATTAAGATAATTATGGGCATTTAAAGAGGCTTACAAAAAGTTTAGTTAGTTAAGATCGAAATAATATGTATGAAGAATAATTCACACTTTATTATGAATTACAATATCATGACGGGTAAAATAAATGAGCTTAAGTGAAAATATAACATTTCCCATTTCCATTAATACTTGTTGTTTGCTTTAAGTTCATGATTGATTTCTTAATGTGCTAAACCTCAGATTTCATTGGCTTTAAAAAGAATATTTATAATTCTCAATTTATATAAATGTTTTCTTTGATAGGTTGTTGATATAAGATACTGATGCTAAACTTATCACCTTCAGGTGTCGCTCTTAAACATTGTTGTGGAACTGAAAAAATGTTGCAATCATCCTTTCTTATTTGAGAGCGCTGATCATGGTTATGGTGGAGACAATGCTAGTGATAGCAATAAAGTTGAGCGCATTGTTTTGAGCAGTGGGAAGCTAGTAATCCTTGATAAATTGTTGACTCGTCTTCGAGAAACGAATCACCGTGTTCTTATTTTCTCTCAGGTATTTTTTTCTCTTTAGATACTAGATTTAGATTGATCATCCAAGGCTAGTACATTATTTCTTCATTATATAATTTGAATTCCCCAAGTGAAACAGGCTCTTTTACTTCACTGGACATTGATCGGCCATTTGTAGCTTAATTCTTTTCATTCTTTGAATTTGCAGCCACTAGAGAATTGCCCTTCAATGACCACTTTTTAAAATTTAACACGTAGCATTTTTTCTTCTCATAGATGCTTAAGTTGTTGTATAAGTTAAATAGTAGGTTTACCTATTCCATTTTTCTTTTTTGGCAGCCACGGATAGACCTTTTGTATGCTCTTCTTCTTCTGAACTAGCTGTTAGTTCATAGTTCCAAGTGTTTGAAATGAACTTTATACATTTGTGCATAGATTTAGGTTTTGCAATCCCTTGCACTTTTACCGATGTCATATGTTTTTTTAATAATTGAGAATTACTCTAATTGAATCCACTTATTAACTAAGACCCACGTGTAACTTGTTGTTTTATGCTGTGAAATGCAAGAACATCTATTGCAAGGAAATATTTTATTGCTATAATGTTGAGTATTGTAGTCTTCTTTTTAGCACTCAGGAAGTTAGCTGTTCTTCCTAGTTATGTTATGCTGTTGCGTAGAGATGCTATGTAGGTCCTCAAAGGCATTGTTCTCATGTCCTCTTTTTCATTCTAAGTATTCTTTGTCAGAATACGCTTTCTTTATGAAAAGTTTTGCAAGGGAAATCAAAATGAAGAATCATTATGTTATCTTATCCTTTGGATTTACAGATGGTTAGGATGTTGGACATACTTGCCGAATATTTAGCACTTCGAGGTTTTCAGTTCCAAAGGCTTGATGGTAGCACTAGGGCTGATCTCAGACACCAGGCCATGGAGCATTTTAATGCACCTGGAAGTGAGGATTTTTGTTTCCTTCTGTCTACACGTGCTGGTGGGCTGGGCATAAATCTTGCTACTGCAGATACTGTTATTATTTTCGACTCGGACTGGAATCCCCAGAATGACTTGCAGGTTTGAAGTAGGAGGAATCTATTTACCACTAGCTTTCTCATTGAATAGGTTTTCCATTGATTACAAGTAGAAGCTTATAGCTACCCTTTGTTTAGATAACTTTTTTGATGCAGTCCGTTCATCTAACCTTAACATTTGTCCCCTTTCTGAAAATCTTTAGTATGCTTTTTTTAGGCAATGAGTAGAGCTCATAGAATTGGACAGCAAGAGGTTGTAAACATTTACCGTTTTGTTACAAGTAGAAGTGTTGAAGAGGAAATTTTGGAGCGCGCTAAGAAAAAAATGGTATATAGAATTCTGAAACTTTCTCCTTCCTTTACTATGTGTGTGAGAGTTGTTGATGCTCTATGTTTACAACTTGTTTATTTCTTTGGTCTGAACTTTCAGGTCCTTGATCATTTGGTTATTCAAAAGTTAAATGCTGAGGGTCGGCTGGAAAAGAAAGAATCTAAGAAAGGAAGTTCTTTATTTGACAAGGTAAATTTGATACTTAGAGTAATGCTGTTAACCTTTTGCTTAATGGTCTTTTAGTGCTTGATTACTAGCCACGTATGCATAACAATTGCTTTTTGAAACGCCTTGTTCACTTGCAGAATGAGCTCTCTGCAATACTAAAGTTTGGAGCGGAAGAACTATTTAAGGAAGAGAAGAATGATGAAGAGAACAAGAAGAGGCTTTTAAGTTTGGATATTGATGAAATTCTTGAAAGAGCTGAGAAAGTTGAGTCCAAGGGAGATGATGGGGAGACAGGAAATGAGCTGCTAAGTGCCTTTAAGGTCAAATTTCTATTTAGTTGTGTATACATGTTTTTAAGATGTGTTTCCCCTCTTTAACCTATTTAGCACCTTTTCTGGGTTGCTGCACTCTAGGTTGCAAACTTTTGCAGTGCCGAGGATGACGGCTCATTTTGGAGTCGTTTGATACAACCGGAAGCTGTCGACCAAGCTAATGTATGAATGTTGCTTCACTTATTCATTGCATAACCTGAATATAATTTCAAGATTTTCTTGGCATTTTGTACTACTTGGAAGTAGCACAACTTTTGAACAATTTTCTAGAAGGGATTCAATTTAGTTTTAACCATCTCTGTTGCCATATGTTATCAAGGAAATGATGCAATGGTCTAAAAACATCTATTACTCATTCTGCAGGAATCATTGGCACCTCGTGCTGCAAGAAACACTAAAAGCTATGTTGAACCTATTCGACCTGAGATCAATGCCAAGCAGAAAAAGAGAGTCCCTCAGTCTCGAGATAGAAATCTAAAGCGTTCTGCGAAAGCTACAGATGCTCCAACCTGCATGTTGCCAATGATTGATGGTGCTGTTGCTCAAGTAAGAGCATGGTCTTATGGGAACTTAACCAAGAAAGATGCTTCGCATTTTGCCCGTGCGGTAATTTATTTTTTATTTTCAATTTCTTTATTTATGACATCAAAGAATTTGCCCTTCACATTGTCATATTATTAAATTTCTGTCAGGTTTATAATGTAACTATTTAATCATTTATGAAAATTTTGGATCTACTTGTTGTCGTGGGCTAGATTTTCTGTTTTTATGAACAGAAGAATGAAACAAACGAGTTTGATGACTGTTTCAGCTTCTGCGATAAGTTTTTGTAATTTCTGAAGACAAATAATCTTTCTATGTTGTCTTTGGTATCTATCAAGTATCAGAAGCCAATTCAACGTTTTTTTTTAAAGCTCATCAATGAACTTTCATAGAAGTTTACTATGCATTGTGCTTGAGGTTCAATCGTTTTTTGTCTTCAAGGATTTGCTTGTTTATCTTGTTACCTTCTGTTTTTTTGTTAGGTTAAGAAATTTGGAATTCAGAGCCAGGTTGGCTTAATGGTGGCTGATGTTGGTGGTATAGTCGAGTCAGCTTCTTTTGAAGCCCAAATTGAGCTATTTGATTTGTTAATAGATGGCTGCCGAGAAGCAGTCAAAGAAGGAAACTTGGATGTCAAGGTTGGTTGTATTTTATTTTAGTGGACCTTTTTTTTCTTTTCTACATATTATTATGTTTGTCCTGTTTCATCATTTGTGACTATATACAACTTATTGTTTGTTTTTACAGGGAACCATATTAGATTTTTTTGGTGTCGCTGTCAAGGCATATGAAATACTAAATCGTGTAGAAGAGCTTCAGCTTTTAGCAAAACGCATAAAACAATACAAAGATCCAGTTGCTCAATTTCGTCTGATTACACAACATAAAAGCCCTCAGTGGTCCAAAAGCTGTGGATGGAATTCAGGTAGTTGTCTATTATTGACTATTTTCTTCTTTGGCATCGTGATATCTTTAGTTAAGTATAATTTTCTGGTTTCAACATTAGTTGATGATGCACGATTACTTCTTGGCGTGCACTATCATGGATTTGGAAACTGGGAAAAGATTAGATTAGATCCTAAGCTTGGTCTGGCGAGGAAAATTGCTCCCGCAAACCTTGGGGAAAGGGAGACATTCTTGCCTCGTGCTCCGAACTTAGATAACCGTGCTAGTGCTCTTCTCCAAAAGGTAAACCTTCCTTTCCCCACTAAAATATCCATCTAATCAGTCTCCATTCCAGAATTTTAGTCTTTCAAGTTGGCTTTGTCAGCACGTGCTTGCTTGAAATGCCATGAGATGTCAATATCGTGTTTTGGTTTGATATGTATTTTATGCCTGGCTAACGTCAATTCATATAAAATATTCTTTTTTAGGCTTTCTACACTATAAGTTATGCCTCAACTCATAACTTTTAAATGCTATGCTTTACTTCTAGCTTTTGATTAATACATCAGCTTCTTGGACTTTAACTGAAATTACATTCCTGTAGTCCAAAATGCTACAGTAGTTCTTAGTTGATTGATTGTGCGATTTGTGGATAGTGATGCTCGTTTATCTCAGATATCAAATTCTCTGCTCTGCATGTTTGACTTATGTACTCTTTCTTAAAACTAGGCTGGTTTTAAGGTTTATAATAACCGAGTACTTGTTTCTTCTTGCAAATGGTTTCATATCTCTTTGTCCATGCTTTCCTTAATTGAACACCTTTAACCTATAGTTTGCATGTTCAAATGTTTGTTTCAGAGGATAGCAATAAATTCTTGCTGTACTGATTGCTTGGGAAAAGTCTACTCCTTACCTTTAGCCTCTCGATGTATAAATGAGAAAACTTGGGAGTATTTTTCCCTTGATGTAGATTTCGTTTATGTTAACAAGATTTTCCTTAATCTAACCAGGGTTTATTTAAATCCAAGGTTAGGAAAAAAATCCTCAAAATAATTTTTTACTTCAAAATGACTTTCCTTATATAAACATTAAAGCCTTCCAATCTTGAAAATGTTGCATTGGAGAAATCACGAAAAAATGAATTTTACCTTAAAACTTATTGCTATTCCATTTCTCATTTTGGTTATGAACCCATCCACGGCTCCAACTCTCTGGGTGGAATACAAGATGATGGAATAGGATAAATGTTTAGTAGTTAGCTTAGGTTTTTATTTATTTATAAGTAACTTTTATTTATACCTATTCTTCTTTAAAAAAATCTCTACCATTGTTTTCCATTTCAACCACTGCATGGAAATTAAGTGGATTCCAATTGGATGAATAGTGCATTTGTTCAGCTACACACACAGATATCCCCCCTAGTGTAGAGTGTGTTACTCGAATTATAGGCGCATGAGGAATGGTCAGGGCTCGTATCATAACCCCCGGTCATTCCTTTTTTTAATATATATATATATATATATATAATCTCAAAATGATTCCAACAGAATATAGGATTTTATAAAAATAGTTTTAAATATTTTTGTAAGGTGCAAAAAAATGAGAGAATTTTTTGATGATTTGGACTGGCACCATTTCAAAATTTGGATTATCATGCATGCTTTATTGGATGCCATTGTACAGCATGATGTGATTTACATCTTAGGAAGGGCTACATAACACATACCAACAACTATGATGCGGGGTGTAACAATTTATGCGATGAAGGTTCCAGAGAGAGAGAGAGAGGAGAGAGATGAGTCTTCGAAGAGGCTATAGTTGTTTTTGGTATGATTGGTGCCACTCTCAAAATCCTTTTACCAATAGTTTAGATTTCAGTGGTTCCAACTTATCATCCAATGAAATGAAGCTTTTGCCTGAAGCAGAAACATTTTCATGACAAATCAGAATCTTTAACATTCTCATTTGTTCTGGAATTATTTTGCCGCATATTAACATCATTGTAAGATGTGCGATATTTTTTTTAATTTAAATATTCGAAGTTGGTATTAAAATTTCCATTATAGTACCATTTTAACATGTAAGTGCATTTTTCAAATTGAGAGCCATATCCACAGAAATATCCTGGTGAAAGTTGTTTTGATGAACAGCAGATCAGGGAATATTGATTATGTGAAAGACCATGAATTTGTGAGGCTTGTTAGTCCCTGAGTTCCCATGCTGCCTGTTTTCATTTTCATCTTAAATCGTATTCATCAGAAGTGATTCATTCGAAATTCAAATTTTCTATTTTCGGAGTAATCTTTAGCCAGAATTGGCTATTTTGTTTCCAGTTTTCATAGGAACCTTGTAAACCTTTTCATTTTGGTTCTCCGGTTTGATTTCCATTGAAAGTAATGTTAGTATATGTTGCATCACCACAGTCCATCTAGGCTCCATACTTGTGCTTTCTTTTGATTGGCTGAAAGAAAATATAATATGCAGTAGTTGATTGATCCTCTGTCCTTTGATTTAAGATTTGAGTCTTTATCTTGTGCGTTTAGTTTAGGGTAGAGACTGAGGTGTGTATATGAGCAGATACAAAACTGGCACCATGCCCAAGAAGTTTGCTGAAGGCTATTTTGGATTTTGAAAATGCATGCGTTCATTTTGGTTTCTATAAATTGAGGTTACTTAATTGACTTTGTTAGAAGATCAAGTCCATTGTTGACGTTTGATGTCAAGGATGTTTGAATAAATTTCCCATTTTTTAATCAATTGTATCGATGAATAACATTTTTAACTTTCCCAGGAGTTTGCAAATATTAATGGTAAGATTTCAAAAGCTAAGGGGTCCCGCAAAGTTTCCAAAATAGAAGAAAATACAATGAAAACAAAACAGCTGAAGGATGTGAGCTGGAAAGAGAGCTGGAAAGACATTTCACCTGGATCCCGTTCTCGGGCAAATAAAATGTCACATCAGAAACGCCGGAAAGTTGAACCAGCAGTCAAGGAAGAAGGCGAATTGTCAGAGTCCGAGCAAGAACGGTACCAACAGTTCAAAGAAGAAAAATGGATGGAATGGTGCGCAGATGTCATGGAAGAGGAAGTTCAAACTCTAAGGCGCCTGGAAAGGCTGCAGACAACTAGTTTAAATCTTCCAAAAGAAAAGGTTGCTCCTAACTTTGTCTTCTTTTTATCAAGCTTTGTCTTGCTCAAATGAAATGGTGTAACTTGGGGTTTTATGATTGTTCTTTTCAGGTTCTCGCAAGAATTAGAAAATATTTACAACTTTTGGGTAGAAAGATTGACAAGATTGTTCAACAGCATGAATTATCATATAAACAATCTAGTAAGTTTCTGTTCTATTTTTATTTACTTTAAGTTTCTGTTCTATTTTTCCTCGCTAGAAGTTTAATATTGATAGAATTAAAAAAAAAAATAGGTAAACGAAAATATAATGGAACATTGCCTTGTAAAGAATGGTTGAATTGTGAGTGAAAAGAAAACTCTCTCTCTCTCTCTCTCTGTGAGGGGGGTTTGCGTGGGGTTGGAGGAGTAGAATTGAAATGAATTGTGCTAAAATCAAACCTTTTGAAATAATAAAAAATCTTTAAAGAACACAACTCCTTATGAAAGTAAACATGATAGGTGTATACATAAATTAACTAGAGTTGAAAACGAATATATAAAACAACTAGAACAACATCAATGCACATAATTTACATTACAGTGATAATTTGAAATTCCCAAACTAAATTTTCACATGAATTTTGAGAATAAATATAAAATTTTGCAACAATTAAATTTCACACCATAAAATGGAAAATGATATTTTTCTAACTTGTCCAAATCATGCGTGCAAACTAATCACTAAACAATTTAAATGAAGGATAATTATTGTCAATTTGAAGATATGGGCTTCACGATAGTACCAGAAAAAAATTATCCCCCAAAGGTTGTCAAAATTTGAGAAGTGCTTGCAGAATCTACATCCACTTCAGAAGAATTGGGTGCAAATCAATTATTGCATTATCTTGCATACCATAGAGGTACTTATTTTTAGGCCAAAAGATCCAAAATAAGTAACCACTTAGATTCTCTCAAGATAATATTCCAAGTTTCATTTAACCACGCCTCTATCTTTAGTATAATGTTGAGAAAGAAAGGAATTTAATAACTGTAATTATACTATTCATATATGGAAAGATTGCATGTGGAATCAATCAAAATACAGCTAAGTCTTGTGAAAGGAAACAATCTGAAAAGAGGAACCCGAAAATTACAACTTTGAATTGCCATATTGAGCAAAGTGACATGTTATGTAATGAGAGAAATCTTACAACGTAATAAATTGACCAACATTACAAAACTAGCAATGTATAATTAACTAGGGAAGCTAGTAAACAATAATAATAACATTAACTTTCAAACAATGGCTGACTTGTGGCTGAAAAGTGAACAAGGCTGCCATGTGCTAAAACAAGGATTTGGAAACAACTGAACTATGAAATCAGTGACATGACTCGAGATGAACATGCAACATTAAACCAATTATCTTTGATATGAAAATAATAGAAAATAAACACATTTTGCACAAACTCTTAACTAGGAACATAGAACTAAGAACCAAAACAACTAAAACAACGTCAATTGGTCGTGAACTTAAAGGCCATCATTCTTGAATAATAACTTGGTCGAAACATTCTAGCATTTAGAGTGATCTAGACTCCTAAGAGAGGGAAGTAATGAATGCTTCCTTTCAAACATGATAAAGCCATTCATATCAAAGATCAAATCACATGGAAGTAGAAGACTTGCCTTACTATAGCTTAGGTGTGTCAAAAAATGAACAAATCCAACAATATCTGACCTAAACTCATCTCAAAAAATTCTGATTATGTTTGATTTGATTAGCTTTCATGCCAATTTTGTTTCTAAAATCTTGACCCATTTAATCTTTGTTTCTATCATTAATCACTAAAACTAGTCCAGTGAAAGGCTAGAAAATTTGTGCTTTGGCGCAACTTGTAGAATCCAAACTATTAATTTGTTCTTCAATCTCTCTTTTTTGCAACACTGGTTTTTCTTTTGTGATTTGGAGGTCCTCTACTTCAATCTTAGGAAGCAGCTCATCTCCTAACACATGTTTTTAATTCCACAGAATCAATAATTTTTTTTCGCGGGTGAAAGGTCCCAAAATGAAATCATCTCTTGCTACAATAAATTCTCTATATGCTGTCAGCCAAGTGTGTCCCAAGAGCGTGCACATTTTGTTAGAAAACAAAACTGCATTTTTTTAAAAAAACATGGCCGAATATAGTGGCTTTGATGAGTATTTGAACTGTTTGATATGTTTTTCATCCACGAACTTTTCTTAGCTGTTGGGAGCTTTATTTTCACTATTTCTTCGAATATTTTTTGTTCTCTACAGAAATGTATATTAGGTTGTGGAATTATGTGTCTACATTCTCAAATTTGTCCGGAGAAAGATTACATGAGATCTATTCAAAACTGAAAAATGAACAAGGTGAAGGTGGGCTTGGACACTCCTATCTAACCAGTTCAGCCACGGGAACCACCGACAGGAGCGTCAGTACCAGTCAGCCCACTTCTTTCAAGAGGAGTAGACCACATCAATTTCAATCCCAACATTCAGAAACATTCCACAATAGTCAAGCACCACCAAAAGCAGAGGCATGGAAACGTCGGCGAAGAGCTGACGCGGATAACCAAGTTCAAAACCAGCAATTTCATCAGCAGGCGGCGACGAACAATGGGGCGCGTTTACCCGAGCCAAACAATTCTGCCGGAATTCTCGGGTGGGGTCCGCCAGAATTGAGGCAATTTAGTCATGAAAGGCCTGGTAGAGCGAATTTTCGAAGATATCCTTCAATCCAAAGACCACCGGTCTGACCTGAAATTTTTTTTTATCTGCATTATTTGACCATAGATATACAAGACGGCGCAGTTGCATTCATCGAGAGAGAGAAGCCGTGGCGCCCCAGGAAAATTTTTTGCTCGCGGTAATAAAAAGTTTACTGATCACATTTTGTGATCTACTGAAGCTGCTGTTCTGGTAGAGAAAGCTTAAGCTGGCAGATTCCGCAATCCATATTCTTTTTTTTCATTATGATAAAGAGCGAAAGCCTGATATCGAAGTTAGGGAGGGCTTTTGCAGGTTCAGACAACAGATAGTCGCCCAATTTTGGAGGGGCGAGTTCTGTAACAACACATCAGCAAGTAATATTTGACAATGTTGAAGCAGTAAAGAAAAACTGCTTCACTTCTAGAAAGATGAAGTCCATACATGTTTCCACTCTCTCTAAATACTGAATATATTTGAATCCATTTTCATAAATTATATATATATTTTTTAGTTTAATTTTCTTCTTTTGATTAACCTGCAACTTTTATCTGTGTATTTGGGTTTTATCAGGTTGTATATCCATTAATCTTTCTGGTTTCATTAAATGGAAGGGGGCTGAGTTTTTGAGGTCTTTCTAATTTTGAGCAACTGGATATGCTTGATTATGCAAGCCCAAGTTTTTTGTTTGGTTCAGCTTTTAACAAGGTGCCACGCTATTCTTATATATTTACATATGTACACTTTACATGCTTGTCACTCAAACCTTAAAAAACACATTAAAAAATCACTATTATTAACTCATTAGAAGTGAAGTACTCTTGTTTATAACCTTGAAATGCTATATAAATTTCAAACGATACTGATATGATTCATTTGTCTGACTTTGCTTGATTTGCCCGAGTTTAGCAAAGATGGCAGGTTGCATTTTATTCTGATTCTTTGAAGCTCAAGCTTGGGGGGTGAAAGGTGGCAAAAATATTATTCTTCACTTCTATCCAAGCTGTCAAAATGATTCGTTATTTGTGAACAAAGCTCGTATTCGATTTATTCGTTAAGGAAATGACTCGAATATGAATAATATTTTTGCACTTAATTTATAAACAAGCCTATCATGAATAAATATTTGTTCATCCATATTCAGTTCATTTTCACTCGAAATAATTGAGTTATATGTACATATAAATATTTATATAATTGATAAGTATTTTTTTTTAAATAATTTAATTGACTATAATGCTACTAAGATTTATAATCAATTAAAATTATCAATTAAAAAAACTGTCAAAATGATTTGTTATTTGTGAACAAATTGTGTTTAGTTCGTCAAGCAGCTCGTATTCGATTTATTCGTTAAGCAAATGACTCGAATATGAATAATTTTTTTGCACTTAATATATAAACAAGCTTATCATGAATAAATATTTGTTCATCCATATTCAGTTCATTTTCACTCGAAATAATTGAGTTATATGTACATATAAATATTTATATAATTGATAAGTATTTTTTTTTAAATAATTTAATTGACTATAATGCTACAAAGATTTATAATCAATTAAAATTATCAATTGAAAAATACACTGTAATCAGTGTTCCATGCGATCATTTTACATTGCATTGCAATTTCAAGAAACCAAACAACCCCTAATTCATGAAGCTCACTCCATAACCTCAATAAGTGTATGTTGTTTAATGATTAGTATTTTTAGAGATAAATGAATATCATATATTCTAAAAAAAATCATTAAGAAAGTTTAAATTAGGGCCTTTTATTTAAGTGACCCAAAATATAACAGAGATGATGTACATTTTTAAGAGGAAGATTTTATTTATTTAGTTAGTATTTCAAAAGACAAATATTATAAAAAAAAAATTAATATTGTTGATATTATTTTTTTAAAAAAATTGTTATTTTTTAAAATTTATAATATTTTGTTAAATATCTCACACCTAAACTTTCATATTTACACGCATATCACTCGAATCTTTAATAGCGCAACAAAATTATCACTTTTTAAAAGTGAAATACACATTTTCATACATAAATTTAAAATACCAAAATATTATTTATGTAAATATGAAAGCTTTAGTATGAGATATTGCTACACATGTAAATTTTTCTTTAAAAAAAACCTATTTTTATTTTTAGAAAAAAAAAACATTATATTTTTTATTAAAAATGATACATAATTTAAATTTTCTTTTAAGGAAAACATGGTCTGATTTTCAGAAATCATAAAACTCTTATTGAAGGTTTTTATTAAACATGTATTATGATTAAACAATTTGTCATTATTAATATGTATAATATTAAGTTTTTAAATGAGCATTTACATGCATACCACTCAATTCTTATGTATTTACATATCTGACACCCACGCCTTCAAATTTACATGCATATCATATAATTCTTTAATATCACATTAAAAATAATTACTCATTTTCATGCATAGGTTTAAACACCAAAATGTTATATATGTAAATGTGAAAGTTTAGATTTGAGATATGTAAATACATAAGATTTATGTGCTACATATGTTTTATGTGCTACATATGTAAATTTCCTTTAAGAAAATCCTATTTTAGTTTTAGATAAAAATCTTTTTTTTTTTTTTTAACATGATGCATAATTGTGTTGCCTTTTTTAAGAAAACATTATCTGAATTTTAGTTATCATAAAATCAACTAAAAAACCATATTATTTTATATAATTTTATCACAAAATAGTAATTAAATTAATCAAAATTTATAAGAACTTTATAATAAAAACTTCTTATCTCCCCCCTCCCTCTCCCTCTCCCTCTCCCTCTCCTGTGGGAAAAAATATTCCGTCCGGACACTGCACGTCTAAAAGGGCAAACACCTTTGATTAACCTTTGATTAATCAACCTTAAATACAAAATTATAAAATAGAAACAATGATTCCACAAAGAAATGCTAAGAGATACAACAAACTTGGAGGGGGTTTAATTTGGACAAATTGTTGAAACCCAAGTGGTCAATTCGTTATATTTAAATAGTGTGATTTTTGGATGGTTGAAACGTAAAATTTGAGGTTTGGGTGGTCAATCTGTTAATATGTAATATTCTCTACCGATAACTGTGTCAGCACATCAACAAATTGTTGCCATATTCAATTAATGTTGCAACAATTGGCTATAGTTCTGCTAACTGCATTGAATTTGTCACAAAATAAACTTCAATTTGTTGATGTGCTGACACAAAACATAGTTTATTTTTATGAAAATATTTAGGGGCATTTACATACATTCCACCCAATTCCTATGTTTTTGCATTTGTAACACCCAAGCTTTTCATCTTTACATTTTTTTTTTTACATTTATACCATCCAAACTTTTGTATCTCATAAAAAAATATTACTATTTTAAATTCTAAGAAGTAAAACACACATTTAAAAGCATAGGTATGATGAATTATATATACAAAAATTGATCTTTAGGTGTTGGATATATAAATATATAGGAATTAAATGGTTTAAATATTTTAATAAAATCTTAAAAAATCATAATGAAATATTAAAATGATGGTATTTTAATTAAATGATATTTTTTAAAAAATAAAAATTATCATGAAGTTATATTTAATGATATTTAAATAAATAATTTATTTAATTAATTATGATAAATAAATTGTTATGTTAAAAATTATATTCATAAAATGATGTAAATTGTGGAGAAAATAGTAGTAATCTAGAATTATATTAATTAATTTAAGAAATTATTAAGAGACTGTATTAATTAATGAAATATATGTAACATAATTTTTTTGACATTAAATAATTATTTAATTAAGTTATATATTTTTACATAATTAATTTATTTAGTTATTAAAATTGTAAAATTAACCTAATTGAAGGAAAATAAGAATTAATTTTTTTTATTTAGTATTGAAATCAGTCTAACTAAGAATTATTTTACTGTTCATTAAACTACAACAATCAAAATTAGAAGTTTTTGAATAACATATTTTTTGAAATAATTTCAAGCTTCATTAAAATAATAAATGAGAGTACTTTAATTCTAAAAATAATATAAAATATATGTTCTTTTGTGTGGTTATAAATAGGGGTGTAAACGAGCTCAAAAAGTGTGTTCATGTTCAGCTTGTTTAACGAGCTGTTCACGAACAAAGAGTCCTTTTAACAACCCTAATCATGTAGCCATAAGACTAAGGTTTGAGCAAGATTTAAAAATTTTTATTTATATTAAAACATCATTTGAATCTAATTTAATCATTTTTATTCTATTTTCTTAATCAATATTTTAATTGATTATAAATCTCTGTAGCCTTGTAGTCAATTATAGTTTTTTAAAATACTACTTTAATGAGTAGTATTTCGAGCCAAAACGAGCCGAACACGAACTAACGAACACATCTTAGTTCGTGTTCAGCTCGTTAACTTATCGAAAGAAATTAACGAGCCGAACACGAGCTGTTCGCGAACAACAAGCCGTTTTGACAGCCCTAGTTATAAAGTATATGATCCTGATTTTCTTATGGCGCTTGGAGGTGGACGCTCTCGTAACTGTTGTTCCTCTTCAACACAAATTTATTCTCACTTCCTGTGATCTATACAACATCATGTGGATCCAAAGGATTCCTACAATCGCATTTATAAGAAACTTCCCAAGACTGTACAAATTAATCTAATATTTATTTATAAATTTTTCTAATTATAATTGTTTTGATAACATATTTACTAATTATTAGTTATTAATAAATTAATTTAAATTAATGAAATTTAATTAAAAAATTAAATTAAAATCACAAAACTATCTTTCATTTCCTTTCCCGTGCTCAAAATTAGGTGTAAGCATTCGGTTATTTTGGATGAATCAAATTTTAAATTAATCAAATCTTTTGCAACTAAAGTCCAAAATGTAATTATCTTTTAAGTGTTCAACTATGAATGAATCAAATTTTAATTGCTAGTTGAAGTTTGATGATAAACAAATTTAAAAAATAATATAACCCTAAACCCTATAATACCAATATAAAATTAAATGTTGTATATAATGTAAGTGCAATTTTTTTATTTAGTTGATAGGAAATTAAAATAAACTAAAAAATTTTAAATAAAAGTTAATTTTTTTATATGTTCAATTAAATAAAAATTAAAATAAGAACATTAACTAAAAATTGACTATTAGAGTTAAATAAAAAAAATCGAAATGCATTCAACTATAATTTTTGAGTAATATTTGTTTATCGGTTTTGAGCACGCCGTGCTCTAAACCATGGTTTTCAAAATCCAACTTGACCGGCTAATTCAATCGGTCCAACTGTTAACTAATCATTCTTCTTATTCGTTCTAAGCTCAAAACAGTTTTGCATAGAATCATGATTAAACCAATCACAACTTCAGAATAGGTAAACTATTCTAGTTTTTAAAGAACATGTTGGTTCAAATATTTTATCAATTTTAGTTTCTTGAACTTGATTGGATTGCCAAAAAAAAAATATTTAAAATTAGAAAAAAAAAGAGAAAATATCATGCCTTATATTTTTTATTTATAATATTATTTAAAATGTTTGAAAATATTATCTTAAATTAAATTATTATTTAATTAATTAATAAAAATGATATTAATATATTGTTATTTTATAATTTAAATATTATATTACCCCGTTCAATCTACTCTTCAACGAGTCGATGTCCAATCCGATTTTCCGCTTCGCTCAAAAGCAACGCCCTCGTTAGCGATACGGTCGCCATTCGAGCTAGCAGGGAAGGCAACGACGGGATCGCAGGCTTGCGCTCCGCTCCTACCGGAAATGATTGAGCAAGGTAACCCTCGTCTTTCTCCCCCTTCCTCCCAACCGCCTTCGCGCGCTTCAGCTTTCTTCTAACGGAATTTACTAGATTTTAGATATAAGGCAAAACGGAGGAAGAACGGGATTTAAGAAACTCTAGTAGGATTTAAAGTGCCGCTTTGCTCTGTTTGCAGGTTAGACTAAATCATGTTAAATCCCGCTCAATTGCTCCTACCAAACAGCGTTTAAAAGTTTTATTTTTTTGCTGTTTGGCAGGATTTAGGTTAAGTCCCGCTCAAATCCTCCTAACAAACAACTAAAGCTGCTAACCAACAACCCCTTCGTAAATCAGAGATTTATTGTTGGGTAGAAATGGGATTTAAAATGTTTAGGATTAAAGTTCTTTTACCATCCTATATTTGCTCAAACATGGCAACTAAGGGCCAGTTTGGGGCTAAATGCGGGGGCGTTTTTTGAAAATGTTGTGGTATCGTTTGGATCACGCGTTTTGCCCGCTTATCCGAAAATGCAGTTTCTTTTTTATACTAAATGCACGCCGCGGGTCGAACCCCGCGGGCCGTGTTTCACACACACCCTAAATAACCCTATGTGTTTGACACGCATTTTTAACAATATTTACGGTAGGATTTAATCCAGCCCAACCTCGAAAAATAAGAAGTTAAATCCTAATGTCCGGCATATCCGATTTTCCGTCGGTTTTGACGTAAATCCTAGATTTATTAAGGCGGCATTTGGCTACAACTAAGTTTATGTTAAATAGGATTTATTAAATCCAGCAAATCTGGAAGTATCAAATCCATAATCCTACAGAAGAAGTCGCGATCAACGATGACCCACCTCATACTCGGATCTACTAAATCTGAATTTATGTTATCAAAATGATGGAACGCGCGAGGAAAACAACAAAACACGAGAAAATTGAAGTTAATAGAGCGCTGGATTTATTATTTTTTTTTTGGGTTTTTGGCTGGATTTTAGTTAAATCCATAGTTAAATCCAATAAATAACTTTCCACCAGATACTGCTTAAATCTGATCATTGGTTGGATTTAACTGATTTAAGTTGGGGAGAAAAAACAAACCCGCGGGTTTTTGTTTCCCTCGTGGCCAAACACTTCAATGGGATTTAGTTGGATCTAACTTTAATCTGACCAATATCTTTTATGGATTTAATGCATTTAGATTTGATAAATCTGGATTTATAGGATTAATTCAATCCTATTTATCTTAAATCCTAGGTGCAACCAAACATTATTATGAGTTACAAAATGTGCAATTTAAGATGACGAAATAATATGGGTGTATTCCCATCTTCATTATGATTAGAAAGTTTATTTAGTGCTAGTTGTTATACTATCAAGATAATATATTTATTTTAAATTAAATTTAATATTTTCTTCGTCATCATTTATATATATTAAACTAAGTCTCATATAATCTGAGTGATGATAATTTTCAAGTTTCCTTTCGTGCAAATGACATATCTTATGATCTTCACATAACAATATTTTGAATTGCAATTAAATATAGTTAAAATGAACTATTGCATTATGTATTTGTCAAAAAGTCATGACATGATTCTCTTATATCCTTGTGTAAATGCTTGAGTATCCCTTGGAAGTGATGTGATATATGGTATGAAAAGTGTGCAAGGGATGTTACACCGACGCCCGCGTGTAATGTCAAATAAGCAATAGTTCTCACATTACGAGCGTGTGCGGGGTAAAATTAGTCCATGAAACTAATATTAATATATGATCTTTGAATATATGTACTCTCACAGGTAAATTAATAGAATTAGTTGATATTATAGTTCATAGGAAGATAAATATTTTATGTAATCAAGAAACTAAATGAGTTGGAGAAAAGTCCAAAGAGATTGATAACTTACGTTTTAAACTTTGGTATTCAGGTATGAGTCGCATTAGAAATCGTGGTGTAATTATAGATAAGAGTTTGAACAATAATGTTGTAAAAATTAATAGAATTAGAGATAGAATTATAACACTCAAGATTATTGTTGATACTGAGATTTGTAATGTTATGAGTGCTTATGCTCCTCAAATAGGTTTAGATATATGTTCTAAAGAAAAAATTTGGAATGACATAGAAGAATTAATAGAAATGATACTTCTTGAAGAAATAATTTTTATTGGAGGAGATTTAAGTGGTTATCTTGGTCGCCCGTAGCTATAATGGTGGCCCATTAGATCGAAAGGATGAAGTGAATCCCTTCTAATTGATAATTTTTAGTGACAATAAACCACTACCTCGATGATTCAACATGGAATTTCAGAGAAGTCAATATCCTTGAGTAAATGTGGAATTATTAGATTTCAATGGTCATATGAATCTAGATGAATTTATTTAGTGACTTCAGATAGTGGAACAAATTTTTTATTAAAAAAATGTTCCTTAGGACAAAATAGTTAAATTGGGAATCATCAAGCTTCAGGAAAATGCTTCATTGTGGTGGAAGAACCTGAAGCACATTCGACTGTTAGAAGGAAAAAGTAAGATTACTACATGGTCCAAGATGAAAGGGGAGATGCAACAAAAATATTTTCCCTCACTTTACTGACAAAATATGTTCATATGACTTCAACGCCAGCATCAGAGAGATTATTCTATGGAGAAATACACAATTCAGTTCGAGCAACTTATGCTGAAGTGTGAGCTAGTGGAGCTCAAAGAGGACATCATAACTCAATATTTGAGCGTATTGAGATCGTCTATTGGCAATGTGTATATTTGTAGCCTTATTGGACGTTGCAAGATGTATAGACCTTAGCCCTAAAGGTGGAGAGACAACACAACAGTATCGAGTCCACACCATCCTCCAAATAAAGTTTAACTATCGGATCAGGCAACAAGACTGCACCCAGCGGAGCACCCAAGCCGACCCAACTATAAGAGGAACCCGTACAAAGTGGAAAAAAGATGGAGCCCGTCAATACTAAAACTATTCCCGCCAATAAATGCTTCAAGTGCCACGATTTTGGCCACATGACGCCTGATTGAGGGTGATCCCTGAGTAGGGAGCAGTTAAAGAAATGGACAGTGACACAGAAGACACTGAAAAATGGGAGGATGGAAAGGAGTACCAACATGTGGTCGATAAGAAAGAGATGCTAGTGATTGACACTAAACTCATAAGAGATACTTCTGCAGGATTAATGGTTCATGAGATAGACTCATCCGTGTGCGACAAGTGGGAGAAAATTATTGTAGATTTAATGATTTGAGACTTGGTTCATGAGAATTCCCCTATGCACCATTCCACTTCAAGTTGTGCCAAAGGAGGATTGTTATTTATTCCGTCAGGACAAAGTTTGGAAAGATTTATGTGTTTTGGAGTTGCTTACAATAGGCACGACCATATATTTTGCAGTGGGACTTTTTAAGACACAATAAGGCAATGACTTTGTTCTGGTGGTGGTAGATCGATTTCAGAGGCTTTTTATAGAGAAGATGATGCTCCTCCCACCCAAGAAAAATGATGCGAGAGCTGCGGCAATGGTCCTTCTCACGTTATCACATTTACACGGTATCATTGTATTGATTGCGGGTGATTTCTTTCAATACTTCTTTTTTATTTTATTTAGCAAGTTTCCTTCTTTCATTTCTTTTGTTTTTGGTTCTTACCTATTTCCCTTGTTTCTAATTAGGTGTTTGCTATGAGGGGACTTGTATATGTGGTATTAGAGTTCTGGATTTTTCAGTTTTTCTGGTACGATGAGTTGAGAAGCTTTTTCTTTGAAGTTTGCTCTCCAGAGTGATGTATCATTTTCTTTTGCAAGTGGTGTGTCAGTATCTTGCTTAGGAACATGTGGTAGAACTCCTTACCACCCATATATTGCCATATTGCCATACGACCGATTGATTTTCTGCTGAGCAGCTGTCCAAGCTGTTGTTTCAGCGGGAAACTGCCATTTATCCCTTCCGGTTCGCTGTCCAGCCGCCCTTATCTTGTCGAATCGCCGTTGTTTTGCTATTGCAACTGGGACAGCCACCACCGACGTCAAACGTGCTTTCCCCAGCAGATTTAGCCGCAGAACATCTCATAGCTTTCCCAAACCACGCCAATGATCCATATATTTATTCTCTTGCTACTCCAAACCCTCCCACTAAATCCCCTTTCTAAATGCCATCTAAACACCAATAAATTATTGGTAAGGATTGGCCTTGTAGGTTAGGACTAGTCTGCTCTGAATTGTTCAGAAGGACTGGTCGGAGTAGGGCTGGGAGTGTGGTTTGTTCTGCGGGTTTTGATTGATAGAAGGAATCAACATTGGGAATTAAAATTTATGGGGAGAAGATGACAGTAAACAACAATTTAGAACACCAATGGGGAGCTCTGTAATTCAGTGAAATATAATTGCAGCATGGAAGAGCTGCAAAACAGCATTAGAAATTTGGGACAACATGATAGGAAAGTGCAGAATATATAATTTAACATGCAGAATCGTCATATAAACAAGATTCAACCTTGTAAATAAAGAGAAATGTGCGTTGGAATGTATTAAATGTTCAACCAGGGACTCAACGAAATAACGCAATCCTAAGCAAAACAAAAAATTTCAGCATGCAAAATCAAGGTGAAAGTTTTATAGATGGAAGATAGAATGCAAAAATAAAAATTTATAGGTGCTATTTGTAAGTGATACGAGTGGGATAAATGATTTTGGTTACTGTTGGAAGTAAGTTAGAAACAGTAAGTGAGGAATAAGAAGATTATGAAGGGAAGAAGGAAAAGAACCTTTCCCATAAATAACTTACTTAAGAATGAGAAATTGTTTCTTGCTTGAATCTAAAATCATAATTTCTATGGATTAGTGTTTGCTTTTGTTCATTTGATGCAGATTTTGAAAAAGTTATTTTGCTTGATCCTAGCTGAGAGTTTAAGAGTGGTAGAGAGAAAAAGAGAGGGAAGATCTGGGGTAAAGGGGGTGGGTTGGGTGGTGTACTCATAGAGATTGGGGAGCAAATATTGGGTTTATAGCATTCTATCATT